AGACACCAAACCAAAAAAAAGAACAAAAACAGTGATCTAAATATGCAAATGATACTTTCAGAACTATCAGAATGAGAAAAACATTGTATGCTGCCTGAAAGAAATATACTTCCATTATAACTATGTAGGTGGGCTAAATGAGGTAAAAGACACACCATAAAAGGTATTCGTCACAGAAAGCAGCAGTCACGACAGTAATATGAAGGAGATTTCAGACAAAGGAAATCATCTGGAGTAAAGGGAAATATCACACAATGATAAGAGCATGAATTCACACAGCAAACTTAAACGTGCATACTGCTAACCATAGAGATTCAAATTACACACAATAAAAAGTGAAAAAATTCAAAGTGAAAAAAGGAAATCCACCGTGAAAGATGGCCAAGTCCTCTTCTCAGAAATCAATAAAATAAGGAGACAAAAGATACACAAAAATAGAGTGCTGAGAAATACCTTGGACCAACTAGATCTGAGTGTCATTTATTGAACTCTTCCTAAAGAGAGAAAAGATTTTCTTTACTGGTCCTCACAGAACAGTCACCAATAGCAAGCTTCAATTCATTTTTAAAAAGTCAAGATACATTCTCTAATCAGAATAGAATTAAGCCAGAACTCAGTAACACAGATAAAAAGAAAATATGTAAACACAGGGGAAGTGAAGTACCAGGCTTCCAAATAATCAAAGAGGAAGCCTCAAGGAAAATTAAACAAAAAGGCTTTAAGCGCTGGGGATTGAAATCAGAGCCCTCACACTGAGCTCCATAGCAGCATTTTTTTCCCACTTTTTCACTTTGAGACAGGGTCTTGCTGAATTGCTCAGGCTGGGCTTCCACTTGCAGTTTGTCTACCTCAGCCTCTCAGAGTGCTGGGGTTACAGGCCTGTGGCACCACAGCCACCTGAAAATAAACTGTGCAAGAATGAAAATGTGCCTTACAATTTGTGAGGGGCACACGCTCAGGGACACCAACTGCAAACACAGACACTGGACCTGAGGAGGCGGGGTTAGGAGGAGGCAGGCTGCCGCTGGGCTCGTCTGAGAATAAAACCTCCAACTTAAGATTTGCTCTGAGGAAGGTGATCTGCTCACGCACCAGCAACACGGGGGCCAAGCGTGCAGAGAGGCAGTAGGAGGGGACCGAGCACGCAGGTACAACAGACTCAGTCTGCTCTGTCCCAGGTCCCCCGTCTCTGGTTGTTCCTGAAGTCCTGGCCCTGAGACACAGAGACAGAGACAAGGGTTGCCTGTTTGCACACTCAGGGAGCAGAACAGCAGCCCTCACCGTGTACATTACTGGGCATTTTACAGTAAGTGCAGTAAGGGGGGAAGCAGCATGCTGGGGAAAGCCATAAACAGAGCACTGATGTTTGTGCAGAAGCCCCCTGCAGAGGCGGGATCCCAAGAAGAAGGCCTGGCTTCTGTTGGGAGCATGGCCATGCAGTTCCTCTGGAAGCCTGCCACCCATCGGAAGTGTCCCCAGTGTGAGCAGCACCAGACCTGAGGATGTCCAGTGGCACCTTTGCCGGTCCACTGTATCCAGCTACCTTGTCTTCTCTTCCCCGCCTCAGAAGTCCACCTCCCCCAGAGCTGTGGGATCAGCAGTGTCCGTGTCAGTGCAGATACAGACCTGCATCCCCCAGGTGCCCGTGTACCCCACCTCCTCCCTGCCTCCCTCCCTCCCCTGGCCTCACCCACAGCGTGAAGACTCAACTCCAAGGCCACCACTAGGACAGAGCTGCCATCCCTCTGCTGGGTGACAAATGTACCCACCAACCCCTCCGTTCTCCCTGTGGCCACACTTCCCTCCACAGTGTGGTCTCCAGGAAGCCTCTCTGGACAGCCTAGGAGGCCTGCAGGGGCAATGCAGCTGCCCATTATGGCTCCAGGTCATTTGCTTAAGGCACTTGGTGGTCCCTAAAGACCTCTGAGCTGGGAGATTCACCCAGCAGGTGTTCAGAGGGAGGGGTCTGAGTTGTTTTCTCATTGATGAGGTAAAATACCCAATGCTCACAATTTAAGAGAGGAAAGATTTATTTTGACGCATGGTTTGTAGCGGTTTCAGGCCACAGACAGCTGGCACAGGCAGCATGGCAGAGCAGAGGAGCAGCTGCTCATGGCCTGGTGGACAGAGACCCCACCTCCCAGCACCACATGCAGCCATAAACTCTTCAGGGGATTAATCTGGTGATGGGTATCACGGCCCATGATTCAGTCACCTCCCCAAAGCCTCCCATAAGCCCACGAGACTTAGGGGGACATGTAGACAGAAACCATAAGAAAGGAAGGTCAGGTCCTGTCCCTTGGGGAAGTTCTCCAGGTGAGGCTGCGTGGCAGTCTCCAAGAACAAGGTTTCCAACATCACTTGCCTCTAGGGGTTGGGCCACTGTGACCAAGTCTCGTGGTCAGTAAACCTAACACGGCCACACCCCCAGGTCCGTGGCAACGGCCTCAGGACCGAAACGCAGGGCAGCCATCCAGGCAGATCCTAAGCAAGGGACAAGTCAGGGAGCCAGCGTCAGGGAGTGACCAAGAATCCAACGGCAGAGAGAGGCCAGTGTCACCTGGGGAAAACAAGCAGGCCGGCCGCAGGGGTCACAGTGTTAACCAGGTCAGCTCTTCCGCGAGTGCAGAGAGCTCAGTCCAGGCTCCCGGGCAGCGCTGTGATGGTTATGCGTGGTGCCCCAGTTACTAGTAGCCGCATGCAAATGCCTTCAATAGAAGATTAAACATCTTTCCGGTAAATTCTGGTTTCTGTTCACAACCACAGACACCAGCTAACAGAAAGGTTGACACCGCATTAGCATGTCACAAAAGGAACTTTCATTCCAGCCAACTCTTCCCTGCAGCAACTACACAGGCTGAGGGTGGGAGTCCCCGCAGTTTTGCTAAATAAAAAAGCTACATGTTTAAAACACAGTTCTCCTCACGTCCCTGTCGCGGATTTCTTTGCTGCTGCAGGCTGTCATGATAAAGGCGATGACAGTCTGTATAAAACGCTGTTATAGAAGAAGCGAAGGCTTTGAACGCTGCAGTAATCTGGTTTCTTCAAGGTCTCCAGCGACGGCGAGCGCCCGGCGCTCTGGCGCCCCCTACGAGTTGCTCTTGAGAAGAGCACTCGCTGCTCAAACGCAAGACGGTTCAGGAAAAAAAAGAGAACCAAGGACAGGGCCTATTTTTTTGCCTTCTTTTTCCCCCTCTCAAAAAAGTTATTCCTTCTGAGTGTCCCCTGTTCCCAAGCCAGATGATAAAGTTGGAAGAAAGAGCTCCAATCGCCCCGAGAGCAACATTGTGCTCCCCCAGAAACCCGAAGACGCCTCTGATACAGAACCGGGCCCTGCTTTCCGAGTCAAGGTCTCTGTGATTATTTTAAGCAACAACTGTAACTGAAGGTTTTGTTTTGTTTCCTTTTTAATTTTCTAATCAAACCAGAGAACCTGTCCTCGTTTTTTAGGGCAGCTACAGAGAACCGACAGAGGGAAAAAGAAACAGGCGGCCACCCCGTGTCCCACCGTCCAGGCGCCCCGAGCAGGGACTGGGCGCAGCTGCTGCGCCCCGAGGGGACCGGAGGGGAGCCCGTTCCTGGGGCTGCAGGGAAGCGGGGTCTGCACACACCTCGTTTCGGTCGCTTTTCCTTTATGAAGGGATAAGTGTTAATATTATTTCTCTATCTGCTCCAGGTAGGGAAGGGGGAAGTACACTGGTGACCCCATTCCAAAAGGGGGAGATGAATGCGTGGAGAGACAGGGCCGGGGGAGGCGCTGAGTTCACCCGAAGCTGCGTGCTCAAGCAGGAAGGAAAGGAAGCCAGGGTTTGCCGTTCCCGCCGCGAACCGCACAAGACGCCTCCGAGACAGCCGTCCACTTCCTAAGGCAAATGGCCAGCATCCCTGCAGTGCAGGGGGGGTCTCCTCCTCCGAGGGTCCCGCAGCGTCCCAAGGCCAGCTCGCGCAGCAACGCTTTGCGCTGGAGCCGCAGAACGCGTCTTCGTCCAATCCTGGGCCAGCTGCGCCCCCTGTCGGCCAGATCCGGAAAGGGCTCGCGGACAACCCAGGAAAGCCAGGCGACCTCTAGGGCACAGCTTCGCTCGCAGGGCGCAGCGAACACCCCGCTGCTTAGCGAGAATCCGAGTCCGAACGAGCTCAGGGAAAGAGTCCAGTGCCCAGAAGAGCGCCCCAAACCGTGTATGTGACCTTGTCCGCGGTTAAGGACGACTTGGTTACTAACTCTGCTTCTGCAGTGCCCGCTCTAAGGCGTTATTCTGTTGTCCAAGGCGTCAGCTTTATTTGAAAAAGTAATTGGGAGAACCCTGAAACCAGGAAGGCGGTTGGAATTTAGAATCTTGGAAAGCTGCGCCCTGGGACCTATTCGCTGCGGACTCCTATGCTAAGCGGGCACTCGCGGGGAAGCCGCCGGTGGGAACCACGACCGCTCCCGAAGCAAACGCGCAACGGGGCGCCTCGCGCGCTTCTGCAGACACCTGCGCGCGCGCCTAGGGGAGGGTCGGTGGCCGGGCCAGCACAGATAAAACCGAGGCAAATGGGGTCTACTCAGAAGTACTCCACCACGTGTCTCATACAAGGAACTCAATATTAGAAAGCTCTGCAGGCTACACACGAATGAGGAGCCGCACCAGCCAGTTTCCAGGCATTCCCTCGCCGCGGGCGTTCGGGGATTGGGGGGCTCTGGCCTCGGGGAGGTTAGTGGAGCCAAGTCGGCTGGGAGGGACTAGGATGACTGGAGGCACTAAGGTATTCTGGGGTGCCAGAGTAACCCTAGGCGCTGAGACTCCCAAGGACACCTGGCACTGGCGCGTTTAGAGCAGGTGCCCCGTAAATCAGCGCGTTGCGCGTCCCCGCACTCGGCCCTCGCGCACGGGGCGAGGCACGGCCCCCGAGCCCTGCCTGCGCCGGCCCAACCCCCCTCCCCGTCCTGGGCGCGCCGTTCCGGGGCGTGTCCTCGGCCACCCCAGCTTCTATATAGCGGCCGGCTCGCCGAGGCTGGCCAGACGCTAGCGCGGCAACTGAGCGCTGATGATCTGCCATTGCGCGCCTGCACGGATCCCGCAGCTTTCGCCGCGCGCTGTCATAGCTCCGTCCCCGCGTGCTACGGCCACACCAGCAGCTGCCCCAGCCGCGGGCGCCATGCATCGGGCGCGCCCTGCGCTTTGGGCCGCCGCACTCATCACGCTGGCACTGCTCCGCGGGCCGCCCGGGGCGCGAGCCGGTGTGAGCGCGGTGGGCGCGGGCCCAGTCGTGCGCTGCGAGCCGTGCGACGCGCGTGCGCTGGCGCAGTGCGCGCCTCCGCCCACCGCGCCCGCTTGCGCCGAGCTGGTGCGCGAGCCGGGCTGCGGCTGCTGCCTGACGTGCGCCCTGCGCGAGGGCCAAGCGTGCGGCGTCTACACAGAGCGCTGCGGCTCCGGCCTCCGCTGTCAGCCGCAGCCCGATGAGCCGCGCCCCCTGCACGCGCTCCTACACGGCCGCGGGTTCTGCGCCAACGCCAGCGCCGCTGGCCGCCTGCACTCCTTCCTGCTGCCGGCGTCCTCCGCTCCAGGTGAGCCACCGTCGCGGTTGTGGGACCCTGCGCTTCCCGTCCGTGAGGTGGGAGTGGGGAAACAGAGCCCGCCACCAACCGAGCCCCCAGTCCCCCGCGCCCGAGGCACCATCCGCAGCCGCCTCCTTCCCAGCGTGCGGAGTCCTGATGGCTTGCAGAGCGCTTTCAGTGCAGTTAGGAGGTTTTCGGGGCGGGAGGCTGGAGACCCAGGCGGGCGGTCAGTGGGATCTGACGCAGGAACGGTACCGCCCGAAACTGCCTGCAGATGCCGGCTCGGGCTTCGGTTCGCAAAGTAACGCACGTCCCCGCGTGTCCAGAAGCCAGCAGGGTAGGATCCGCGCCACGGGGCCTTTCTGCGGCTTGAGTAACTTCGCTATGTCGCCCAGGGGCAGAGCGCGTCGCTCTGAACCTCGTTCGCCACTTTCAGCGCCACCCCCACTTGTCCCCTGTCGGCCACCCCGCACCTGCCAAGGCGCGGAGGAGCGCGGGGCAGCGCGGACCGAAGCGATTTCAGCGACTGGGAGAGGACTGACAAGTTCTTTATGCGAAATGGAAGACAGGAGTTGCGGGTGAGGGCCACCCAAAAAGAGGAAAAACGCAAAACCTTTTGGCGCTTAGCCCTCCGGCGGCGCCTCGGGTCGGGTTCCCTGTGCCGGGTTCTTTCCAGGGCTGCGGCTCTTTCACCTCCGTGGCTGCCGGCCACCACTGTGGCTCTCACCACTCCGCTGCAAAGCCTGGTCCTCCCCCGAGGGACCGGTGTTACTCACCCCGAGAAACACCGGGCAGTGGCCAGGCGGGAATCCAGTTGCTTCTCAGGCTCTGGCCAGCTGTGAAAGTCGCGGCGTGATTTTTCTCTCGGAGCAAATTATGTCATTTACTCTGTGTGCGTGTGTGTTTCAGTGCATTTGGGGGAAGGGGTGTGCAAAGGCGATCCTAGAAGTGCTTCTCAATATTCTCTCCTGGTCGGGCTTTCCTAGATAGCATTTCCACCGTGGCAGCCTCAGGGTGTGTCTGTTAGTTGGTGTGGATTCTTACAGGATTATAAAAAGATCTATGTGATTCAGAATCCATTTGGGGGAAAAACAGCTAAGTCTATGACAATCAAGTCAGTTCTCCTGCAGGGTGTCCTGGCACACACCTCTAATCCTAGTCCTTGGTTGGGTAGGCTGAGACAGGAAGATCACATGTTCTCTCCTAGCCTGGGCAGTGTACTCGAGTTTCAGAATTTTTTTTAAAGTTTTTTCAAAAAGTAGGCATGAGGCCCAGTGCAGAGGTCCAGGTCTTAATCCCCAGCACAAGAAAAAAAAAAAAATTGAAGAATCATGATTCTCCATTGTTTAAGCAGCCATTTGACTTCACTGTTAGCCAGCAGTCTAAGCATTAAAACAGCAATCCAGAGAGTTTAGGAAATCACTTGGAGTCCTCGGAAAAGTAATGCAAATGTGTTTAGTTGCATATGCTTAGCATCACCTTTCTCTCCAGTCCAAAAAAAAAAAAAAAAAAAAAAAACAAACCTCAGATTAAAGAAAATGGACACCAAGTTGATCAATTATGGACCTGCTCTGTCCATATGGACCCTGGGAATTCGGATCCCAAAACACAAGCTGTTGCGCTCCTGGGGAGCTGTTTGGCTCCCTGGAGAGGGTGACGACTCCCCAGGACCTCTCAGGGGAGCCAGCGCAGCAGGTGTTCCAGGACCCCCTGCAGAGTCTGCCCTGTGGCTTTGGGGAGCCCAGCACTTGCCGAGAGCCAGAGGTCATGCCACTTCGGCTTCCCTGTGGGCAGCCTGCCACCACCGGCCGTGTCCCGGGGGGACAAGAAAGCCTTCAGCTGGAGCTGGCACATTGCACCCAGATGGGCCGGGTCCAGAACCGGCTGTCCTGGCCAGGCCAGCTGCGGGCTGCAGCCAAGGCTTTCGAGGTCCCAGTGCGACCCTGGGCTCCCATCCACGTGGCCTTTGATCTCTGCGGGGCCCCGTGGCCCCTTGGATTCCTGCTGGAGGAGGAGGAGTTAGGATCCTGGCCTGCGTCCAGCCAGAAAGTCCCTTGGCGCTCAGGGATCCCGGCTACCCCACGACTGTTCTCCCGGCCTCTTGGTAGCATTTCTGACCCTCAAGGCCAGAGTCTGCGGGAGCCCCTTCCCCACTTCCGTCCCACCCCCAGGGCTCTTAGAGATCCGCATCCCCTGGACCTCTGTGCTTTGGGGGAGGGGCACGCAACCCAGAAGCTCGGGGTCTCTGTGGACCTTGACTCTGAGATATGACGGGGACCTAGAAAGCAGCCAGCGGCAGGACCCTAGGGGCACAGGCGTGTCCCCATCCGAGCTGGACTTCAGCTCCTGGGCACTGGTCCGGGAGCAAGAGTCCCAGGAGACCTCGTTCACACCCAGACTGCTGCCCAGAAACGCCGCCGCGTGGAGAGTGTCTATTTTGTCCACGTCCCCCGGGGCGGCCTTTGCTTCCGGGGGTGGGAGGAGGGGTGCAAGGACCACTCCGGGCCTCCTGCAAGATTGGCGCGGCCTTCGGTGGCGCACGTCCGCCCCCTGCTGGTGGAGGATGGAGCCACGCTGCTTTCACTAAGGAAGTTCTTTCAGAGGCGGCTACTTAGCAAAACTGGGGGGGTGGGGGATGAATGACCTGGGGCTGTTTTGTTTTGTTTGTGATTTCTTTTCGGTTCTGGGCCTTCACACTGAACTGTATCCCAGCTTATTTTAATTTTTATTTTGAGAAAGAGTCTAAGTCTCTTACGTTGCTCAAGCAGGGCTCAAATTTGCAGTCCTCCTGCCTCAGCCTTCCAGGGTACAGGACCCACAGGTGTGCACCCCCATGCCCCGCTGCAGACTGACCTGTAAACAGATGGCCTCCTCCAGGAAAGCAACACATAGCGTAGGGTACTGCTTTCGCAAGGCAGGGTTGTTTCGGGTTTTGCTTTTAACCTTCGGGGAATCGGTGAGTAACATTTCAGTGTGGGCATCCATCACGCCTTCCTCTCCCACATATTTTCCAGGAAATGCCAGCGAGTCGGAGGAGGACCAGAGTACTAGCAGCGTGGAGACCCAGGCGGTCCCTGGCACCCACCGGGTGACCGACTCCAAGTCCCACACCCTCCACACCAAGATGGACGTCATCAAGAAAGGCCATGCTAAGGACAGCCAGCGCTACAAGGTGGACTATGAGTCCCAGAGCACGGACACCCAGAACTTCTCCTCCGAGTCCAAGCGGGAGACAGAATACGTGAGAGCCTTTGCTTTTGTTAAAGGGTGCAGCGGGGAGACCCACCATGAACCACAACCCAGGCTGCGCGCTGAGTCTCAGGAGTCCCATCTACTCCCACTGCCCCTCCTTCCGAGACCCAGTCCGGTCTTGGAGACTGAGGAGATTCCAGCTAAGCCAGTGCTTGCCACATACAGTGTGCCCCCAAGGTCTGATGCACCCCAAAATCATGGCATGCCTCCAAGAATGGTGTATGCAGGGCGAGCTGCTCACAAAGGCACTTACCTGGGCCTTCTGAGCTCACCCAGCTCTGTGGGACTCAGGATAACAGAGCTGAGCATCCTCCCTACTAACCCGGGGCCTTGGAGGGCTGAGGGGTGTTCAGGGCCTGTAGGCATGACATGGAGTCGGCCTCGGAGCACTGACCATGGCTTCTGGTCTGAACTTGCTGCCCCTCAGGGCCCCTGCCGGAGAGAGATGGAGGACACACTCAACCACCTGAAGTTCCTCAACGTGCTGAGCCCCAGGGGTGTCCATATCCCAAACTGTGACAAGAAGGGGTTCTACAAGAAGAAGCAGGTGAGTGGCGGGGAGGTCTTCCCCGGGTATCCGTCCTCGCCGGCCCCAGGCTCCAGCTCAGAGTCCCTGAGTCCCCTGTGCTGTGACTCAGCTGTCAGTCTCAGGATGGACTGAGGGTCCATCAGGGGTGGCCCGAGTCCCAGCCACAGTGCCCTCTGCTGGGCAGAGCAAAGGAGAGCCCACCACCCACAGCAAAGGGATGCGTTTTCCAGCCTCACAGCATCTGGAATAACTAGTGGTGAGGACAGAGGAGCCCATTCAGGTCCCCCTCAGCCCCCACGCCTTTCCCACAGTGTCAGGCTGTGAAAATTTAAAATGCCATTAAACCATGATGCATGTGCCTCTGGAGACTGGGCTTGGGGGTCAGCATTCTGCTTGGCTTCCTAACAGGACAGTTCCCACCGTCCCAATAGTGTCATGGTGGCCATGGCCAGAATGCCCAGACCTTGCCCTCAGCCACCGTGTCTGGGCTATGCTTCTCACGGGCGTTTTCTACCAGTCACCCCCGCTCAACAGCCTCAGACTGGGAGGTAGAGTGTGGTCTCTGAGACTCAGCCAGCACACAGGCACACATGTGCACATGGATGCATGCACACACACACCCACAGTGCACACACAACACACACATGCAGACACAGTGCACATGCAGACGTACAGTATACACACCCGCAGACCCGCAATGCATATACACACACACAATGCTTACAGACCCACAGTGCACACACATGCATGTAGACCTACAGTGCGTACACATGCAGGCACACAATGCACACACACATGTGGACACAGTGGGTGCACATGCACACAAACGCCTGTGTGCACACATTGCTACCTCCACACGGTGGCTCTCCACCAGTCCCGGACAGAGTTTCTGTGGCACACGGGATGCCCACAGCTCGGTCCTCTTTGTCCCCCAGTGCCGCCCCTCTAAAGGCAGAAAGCGGGGCTTCTGCTGGTGCGTGGACAAGTACGGGCAGCCCCTCCCGGGCTACGACGCCAAGGGCAAGGAGGACGTGCACTGCCTGAGCATGCACAGCCAGTAGACCCGCTGACCACGTAAGCAGAGGGGGAGGGGGTGAGACGGGGTGGGGTAGGGATGGGCACAGTGGGCTGGGCGTGGCCACGGCCCCTCCTCAGCCACAGGCCTCAGAGAGGAAGGTGGAAGCCCCCGCCCGTCCCACAGGCTCAGGGGAGGCTGCTGCCCTGGCTTTGCCCTAAGTGACTCACGCCACGGCCACAGGCCTTGAAGAGTTTTCAGAGTGAAGCTAGGTCCCTCCGTCCGCGGAAGCCAGGCTGATGGCTCCCAGACCCCACAGGAAACTCCCAAGAACTTGCCCACAGTGTGACTGTTATTCTTCTGAAAAATACAGTGTGGTTTTGTTTTTTTTTTTTAAAGCTTGTAGTGACTTTAGCTTTAGGAAAGAGCATTTACATCTCTAGAAAATGGAATTCTAAGTCATGCTTTTGAAGAATGTGGTCATGGCTTGCTTTTTTTCTTGCAGTAAATGAGGGAGTTATTGGAGAATAAAAAAAACAAACATATTTCCATTTATCTCCCGAAGACACTTAATAAGCAGAAGACATTTTTTATTTTTAGATACAAGTAGATTTTTAGATACAGTAGATTCTTCTTGCAAGTTGGAGGAAATACTTTTTACAATAACTTTTTAACAATGAACACATAGTTTTGATTTATGATGCGTTTGACTTTTGGGGGAAGATACCCAGAAGAACAGCTGGAACAATTTGAAATTGCTATTTATAGCAGTATAATTTATAATAGCTAAATCTTGGAAGCAGCCTGTGTGCCCATCAGCAGATGAGTGGATAGAGAAAATGTGGTATTTATACACCACAGAGTACTGCTCTGCCACAAATAAGGATAAGCTTAAATCAGTTATAGGCAAATGGATGCACCTTGAGACCATAGTACTTCAGGGGAAAAAATCAGACACACAACAAGCTTAAACACCACATGACTTCATTTCTATGAGAAACCCAACATATAAATAAAGAGCAAAATAAAAGATAATAGAAAGTAGGAAGATATTTTTCAGATGGGAAGGGATCAAGAGATGGAGGGAGGGGATGGAAAAAGAAGGGGATGTGTTACCTGCATGGGTCAAGTCATTATGTCCTGCAGATGTGGGCAGCCACTAAGAAAGGAAAACCACAAACCACAGAAGTTAGAAGTCCCCGCCCACTGCATAGTATAGGGCAGGAGCTGGATCTTTTCAGTTTTCCTGGTGGTTATTTCAATTCGTGTTTCTCACTTTCTGTTCCAGTCAATGTGGAGCTCAAATACGCCTTATTTTGCACAAAAGACTGCCAAAGGTCAGCAGCTGGCTACAGCCTCGACTTATATTTCTTTCTGTGGTGAACTGATTTTACAGAAACAAAACCAAACCAAAGTTTAGACAGATTTTCGAAATGCCTATGGTTCCTTTAAGTGGTAAACGTGAGCATCTTTCCAGTAATTAGCAAAGAGCAGTTTGAAGTTTCTAGTTGCTGCCTGTAAAAGTTCACTTGCACAGAAGGCCACAGCCTCCGGTCCCCTCCCGGAACCACACCCCAGGTCAGCTGAGAAGGTGACCGACCCTCACTCCCTCCCTCTGTCAAAAGAGCACAGGCCTAGGAGAGTAGGAACCTTCAACTCCAGTCACCTGGATATCCTGAAGCCCCTCCCAAGGCCACAGCCCATGTGGGGACATCTTCGAATCCTGAGTCTCGACCACGAAGTTTGTCCGTCATCTGCAAGGGACCTGATCTGCTTTGGAGCCCTGTCTCACAGACAGAATGACCTGGAAGTTTCCAGGGGGTACCAGGACGCTGTGCACCTGGTGTGTGTGTGTGTATGTGTGTCCTCCTCCACCAGGTGGCAACTGCTTGAGGACAGGGCCCTTTAGAAGGCTGGGTGGCGGGGAGGCTTTCATCTTGGTCCCACAGGGTGGCAGAGGTAGGGGTAAAAACTGGCAGCCTCCTCCTCCTTGTCCCGAGGCCCTTGTGAGTGATGCTCGATTCTCTAGATGACTGCAGAAAATAGTGTTTGCTACTTCAACTCCTCAAAACCAAGTGTATTTTTGAGGTTAAGCTCTTTAAAAGCAAAAGGTTTATTTTCATCTCTCCTGTCTCCTGCTCGGGCGCAATGTGTTTTTTAAAAAACAAAGTCTAAACAGGAAAGATGCCCGGCTTGCTGGGAGCCTTTCGAGGACGCTGGACTCTTCCTGAGAGCTCTCTGACCTGTGTTGGTTGAACTTGGAACCCTTACACTCTCCCCCACTCACGCATATATACGGAGAAGTTAACAGTATATACGGCATAGCCCAAATATAATAGGATCTGTACTAGATAATCCTAGAGGAAATGGTAGAGATACTAGATGATGTAGCTAACCACGGCTGTGACCAAGGAAAAGAGCTCGTGCCTGCGGCCACCTGCTGTCCCCAAGGCTGGGCCCTGAGCCTGTCTGACGAAGCCCGCGGCCCCGGGGGTGGACCCGCTGCGTGGAGCTCCCTTGATAATTCCAAGGGCTCTGGGGATGTTCTGCCTACCTATTAGCTTTCCTTTATTTTTTTAATTAAGTTTTTGAGAAAAAAAAAGTATTTTTGGAAAGTTTGTCTTGCAATGTATTTATAAATAGTAAATAAAGTTTTTACCGTGACAAGGAGAGGAAATCTCTCTTTTTTTCCCCCCGTGTTTCTGCCTGTCTCTGGATTTTGCGTTTCGAAGGGAATAATTCTGAGAAGGTAGCAATTCCTGCCAGGGAAGAAAACATCACAAGCGCATGTTCCTGTCTCTGGTTAACAAAAGAATCCCAGCAAGACCCTTCTGGTGGCCTTCAATGGCATCCATGGAGCCTGGAGTTGTTTTGGCTCTCGGTTTGTGGCAGTGCTGGCGATGAAACCTGGATAAAGCCTTCACATTGGGCTACAGCCACAGCCACTTTTAATTTTTTATTTGGAAGCAGGATCTCACTAAGTCGCTAAATTGCCCAGGTGGGGCTTAAACTTGGCAACCCTCCTGCCTCAGCCTCGCAAGTGCTGGGCTTAAAGCCTCTTCACCACCGCGTCAGGCCACCCTGGAAGTACTCAGCAGGGGTTTTCTATCAGCTGTCACAATGCAAGCAGGTCCTCAGTTCTGGGCATCACACTCCGTGTGGTCTGGGAGGGGACACCCAGGATACCCATGTCCTATCCCAGCCCTTCTACCACTGTCCAGCTGGCAGGAAGGAGCACCGAAGCAGGAAAAGGAAGAGGCCCTAGGTGGGTTCTGGGCTCAGTAGCCTTGGGAAAGTTGTCCCTTGTCACAGGGCCACATCAGGCACAAGCTTGAGGTGTGACTTCAGGGAGTTACCCTGTGTTCACGTCTGGTCCATTGGCAGGGCTTTTGAGATGGCTCCAGAATCACAGATACAGGGCTCACTGGTTCTGTGCGTGCTCGGATCTGAGTATGTGGGGCTGACTTTGGGGCCAAATTGAGAAGTGACAAGCAGACCCCTGAGACTGTGCTTGCCAAGCCCTGGGAGGAGGAGGCACAAGGGCCACGGGGTGGCCAGCAGGGCCCAGAGAGCAGGCTGTGAGGCCAGGAGTCCAGGTGCTGCACGGAGGTGCGAGCCACACAATGATGCTTCCCGTCGAGAGTCTCCCTGTGTGGTCTGGGAGATCCTCCCAATTCTGCCTCCTGAGTGCTGGGAATACAGGCTCATGCCACACTACGACACTTTTTATCAGCCCACAGTCTTGCCTTGCCGGAAGCCAACCTCTCATGTGCCCTCCTTGCCTCACCCTACATCTGGCCTCTGCCACTTTGCACACCGTGAAGGGTCACAGGTACTGGGAGATGGTGGGACCTCTTCTCCTCTGTCAGCGTGTGGCCTGTTCTTCATAGGAAGCCTCCTTCAGTAGCTGAGTAGACACGTGGATGGGTTGACTGGCAGATGATATAGATGACACATGACGGACAGATTGATACATAAAGAGGATTGATAGACACAAGAGGGATGGGTGGATGGGTCTCACCTGTGAGCTCTGTTTCTCTGGAGAACCCTAATACAGCCCCATGATCACAGCTTCCTCCACATGTCCCCCGCATTTCCAGGAAGTGCGTTATGCAGTCCCACCAGCACCTGAGGAGGGCTCCTGTGCCTGCCCGCAATCCTCAAGTTTTTGGGGGGAGTGCTGTATTCTGGCCAAGCGGGGCTGCGCCTCATTGCAGTTTTGATTTGTGCCTCGTCTGTCACTTTTCAGGTCCTCTGAGCCACTGATGCATCCTCCTTGAAGAAATGTAGGTTCAGATCCCTGGTCCATTTCCAATTGTTTCACGTGCCTTTTCTTTAGTTATAGAGTTCCTTCTATATTGTAGATAGCAGTATCTTATTGGATACAGGATTTGCAAATATTTTCTCCCACTTTGGGGGGTTGTTTTTTGCTTCCCTGAAAGTATCCTCCTAATCACACATTTAAAAAGAACATCTTGCAGAAGTTCAATTTATGTACACGTCAATACTTATGTACAATGGAGCGGATGTGAGGGCTAGCTGTGAGGAGCCTTGTTTTCTATTTTTATTATAAATTCTTTTCTCCACATAAAATATTGTAGCTAAAATCAATTTTTATAGAGTGAAGGGAGGGAAAGAGAAAGGCAAGGGTGGAGGAGAAGGAGGAAATGTCACAACCAAAGCCTGAATCTGAGTGGTTTTCAGGGTCTTCCTTTTTCACCCAAGTAAGGTAAGATCACTAGCAACACTGTCCTGCTAACAGGCCTTAGCATGACAGTTTAGTGTCTTTAACATGTCGTCAGATATGAGCTGCTAATATTTTGCGGAGGAATTTTCATTTACGCTCATGAGAGATACTGATCTGTGGTTGTCACCTTGTAATGTCTTCATGTGGTTTTGACATAAAATGAGGTGGGAAGTGTCCTACAACAATTACTCCAAGAAAAAGATCATAAAGAATTGCTGTCATCTCTCTCTTAAATATTTAGTAGAATTCACCAATAAAAGCACCTGGGCCTGGAGCTTTATTTTTGGAAGGCTTTTTACTCGATTTAATTTTCAGAAGCTCTCATCCCTGGTTAAATACTTACTTCCCCTCCTGTGAAATTTAGTAGTTTCAAGCCATTAGTTGGTTGTGTCTAAAATACCAAGTTTGGGCGTGCAAGATGTTCAGAGTGTTCCTTTGTTACCCTTTTAATATCAATGGGACAGCAGCAATGGCTCCTCTTTCGCTTTCGGTAGAGATAAATTGTGCTTTTTCCTTTTCTTGGTTAGTGTACTTATGAGTTCATTAACTTTATTAAACTTTTTAAAGAGCCAGACATAGTTTCTTTGATCTCTTCCATGGTTTTCTTGATTTTCCCTGCACTGATGTTTGCTTTATTATTTCATTTTATGCGTGGTTAAGCTTAAATTGTCCTTTATTCTCTAGTCTCCTAATATAGAAGTTTACATTACTGATTCTAGAAAATCCTTGTGCTCTACCACATATAATTAATTCACAAATGTTCCTCTGAGCCTTGTTTTAGTCGCATCCCACAAATTTTGATAAACTGTATTTTACTCTTTCTTTAGCTAAAAATGTTTTAATTTCTCTTATGCTTCCTTTCTTATATCATGTGTTATTTAAAACCATGTTGCTTAATCTCCAAATAATTTGTGACTTTCTAGCTATCTTTATATTGTGTTCTAGTTTGATTTTTAGTTTAATTTGTGGTATAAGAACAGATGCTATATAATTTTTATCCTTTTGCACTTATCAAGCTGTGTTTTATGATCCAGAATGTGGTCGTTTTAGGTAAGTATTCCATGTGAGCTCAGAAATAATATGTGTTCTGCTATTCTTTAAATAATCTATAGATACCAATTGTGTTCCACTGGTTGATGATGCTTTTGAGATCAAGTCTGTCTGTCCTGAATTTCTACTTGATGAATCTGTCTACTTGTGGAAAGAAGGGTTGAAATCTTCAACAGTGATATCAGATTCGTCCATTTCTTAAGTTCCACCTAGCTTGTCTCATGTATTGTAAGCTGTGTCATTAGATGCAGCATATTAAGAACTGTTGTGTCCTTCTAGATAAGTGATCCCTGCTTCAATGTCCTTCTTTTGTTACTGATAATCTTCCTTGTTCTGAAGTTTGATTTACCTGAAACTAAAATAGATACTCTTACTAAGTATCAGACTGATGGGGCTGGGGATTTAGCTCAGCGGCATAAGCACCTGCCTTGCAAGCAGGTGGTCGTGAGTTTGATCCCTAGTACCAATAAAGATGAAAAAAGACCAAAAAAAAAAAAAAGTATCAGACTGATATCCATTTCTCCATCTCTTCACGTCTGTGAGTGTGTGTGTGTGTGTGTGTGTGTGTGTGTGTGTGTGTGTGTGTGTATGTGCTGGGAATTGAGTCCAGTGCCTCCCACACTTTACCAGTGAGCTACACACTCAGCTGACCTCCATCTTTTCCCTGTAACGCATCTGAACTGCTATATTTAAAAGCAGATTCTCGCAGACAGTGTGTAGTTCATTGTTTTTCTGGCACTCTGTCTCCTGGCCGGTACGTTTAGACTGTTGGAAGGCGCTGACCCTGAAAACTGACCACGGTGCAAGGCTGGAGCATGGCCATTGCAGTAACAGTGAAAGTTTGGAGCAAACTACATAAAGAAGCTGCTTCAGCCCAGAGAACACCTGGTCCCAAAACCATCCAAGCAGTGGGTGGCCAGGACAACAGGGTACCATGTGACATTAAGTTGCTAAAGGGTATAAATAAACACCCCTGCGGGGAGGAGTCAGTACCTCTCCTCCTTCGTCTCTTCTTCTTTTTCCATCCTCTCATGGTCCTTAATCCCAAGAACCTCAGGAGCTGCATGGGTCATGGTGGTATTAGGTCATTCTCATGTAAAGTGATTCCTGATCCACCGTGTTTGTGAATGTTTTTAATTCATTTAAATTTTTCTCTGTTTCCTTCCCCATTTTTCTGCCTTCTCTGATTTCCGCTGAGCATGTTACATGACTTCATTTTCTGTATACTCATTTTGTTGGTTAAGGATGGTTAATCTTGTGTGTTAAACTGGCTACACCACGATACCCAAACAGGTAGTGAAATGTGATTGTGGATGCTTCTGTGCAAGTGTTTTTAGATGAGGTTAACATTTACATCAATGGAATTGGTGTGAGACCAATTACCCTCCATCATTTGAGTCAGTACTGTGCAATCCGCTGAGGGCCAGACCAGAGCAGAAGACTGGCCTCCCCTAAGCAAGAAGGAATCTGTAGCAGATGTCTTTGGACTTAAGTCACCATCTGCTCCCCTCGGGGTTCCCCTCCTGCCAGCCCACCCTGCAGATTTTGGGCTTCTCAGTCCACAGAACGGGCTGAACCAATTCCGCACAGTACATTTCTACATGCACACATCACATTGGTGCATTTCCTTAGAGAACTCTGCACACTTCAGGTCTAGGAGTGGGTGGGGAGGATCTCAGTAGTAAGGATGGGTTTTCTAAATTGGTTCTGGGTTATCTGGACTCGCTCCTCTAGCTTGATTAGATTTTAAAACATCACTAATTTTATTTCCGGTACTGAAGAGAATGCTAATAGTTCATGATGTCAGACATGCAAAAAATACCATCCCTGGAAACTCCCAATCCAACACAATAAGAAGCCAGGATCTAGATGACTGTGCCTATGATGCTTTCAAGGGTTTTAGTTGAACCAGGGAGCACAGTGACACCTTGGAAAGGAACAAGACACAAGGGAGGACACATGTGAAGCTAGAGATGCAGAGCCCTCAGGTTATTCTGAGATGTCCCCTGATGGGCTTCCCAGAGACAGGCATCAGGCAAGAGGCCACCACCATGACCACCACCCCACCTTCTAGACCTATAACTACTCACAAGTCCCAGCAGCTCCACATGTGAGGTACAGGGTGACCCCCAAGGTAGCAGCACACCACACTCCTGAAAGCCTTCTCCTGAAAGTCTTCAGAAAGCACAGGCAGGAGGGCGCCCTAGGAGTGGGAGACAAAAGCAGAAGCAGGAAGCCAACCGGGCAGAGCTGGCTGACGGAGATGGCTGCACAGAGGCTGTGTTTTCCACACTGCACGGTGAACCGGGAGGGACCATGGGACGGGAGTTCGGAGTCCAGCCCTGCCTCGGCTTCCTGCAGGCAGAGGAATTCAAGACTGCAGGAGCCTGGAGCATTAGAGCAAATTGGCCCCCTACCATGGGGGAGCCCGAAACACATCATTTATATGACTGTGAGAAATCTGTCAGAGGGGGATCCCAGCATCCCAGAGGTCCCCCAAGTTTTCTCTTCTCTGCAGGTTGGTCTGGCCTCACAGTGGAGACTTCAGTCACTGGACCAGGACACAGGGGTAGCAGCTGGGTCCCAGGATGGCAAGCAGCTGCACCCATGGGTGTCACAACTGTAACTGGTGCTGCATCAAGACAGTGTGGTGTTCTAGAAGGGACCGATTCGGAGCTGTGTCACTCCGCAGGCTGTGCTTCCAGGAGGGACCGACAGGCCCTGAAACCAGACCAGGCACAAAGCCTGTGTCACACCTCAAACACAATCATCCTTTTCTCTTTTTTGCATTTTTCTTTAAAAGGAGCATTTTGAGAATGTAACTGATGGACACAGGGAAGACCTCGGAGTGAGATGTGTAGCCCCTTCCTCCAGCCATTGTGGAGGCGCCCGTCCCACACACTATTGACTAAAAGTCAAAGACAAGCTGGGCACACTGTTGCATGCCTATGTGATCCCGACGTCCTAGGAGGCTGAGGCAGGAGGATCACAAGTTCAAGCCCAGCCTGGGCAACTTAGTGACTTAGTAATAGCCTGTCTCAAGATAAAAGATGAAGGGGGAGGAGGGTTCAGTGCAAAGGTCCTGAGTTCAAATTCCAGTATCACAAAAAAGAAAAACTAAACAAATGATGGGTGTGTCTCTGAGGAAGTCTCACGCTCCCTCCTCACACCCGAGGGTCCAGCTGGGACCTGTCACGAGCACGCATTGTCCCTGTCAGTGACTTGTGACAGAGAGGCAGGGTCCAGCCCCTCAGCCTCTGCCCTAAGGGAATGACAGAGGCCACCTCTGCCAGCTGCACCCTATGAGCCCGAATGCTGAGCTCAGGGACCAGCCCTGGGGGCCTGGCAGAGAGAACAGATAGCCTGGATGGGGACACCGTGCTACACAGGGCACCTAGGGGACAGCAGCAGCCCTGTTTTCCCTGGGGGTGGCATGGGGTGAGGAGAGGCCAGAGTGTCTAGGAGTCCCAGAGTGGCTGGGACACGGGTGGGGCCGGGGCACCGTCTCAGTGGGAGGGGTGGGTAGGAGTGGGAAGCAGTGTGGTGGGCAGAACGAGGTGGGTCACAGTTTTAGGGGCAGAGGAGACAAGGGGGGATGGGCCCAGAGGTGATCCAGCCTCAAAGTGGCTAGGGGCACTTGGGGAGGCAGAAGGAGAAGTCGAGGTGGGGCGGGGTGTTGGTGAGTGCTTCCCACTGGATTTGAAGATGGAAGAGACCCCAGCCCTGTCCATGCACTGAAGAGAAGGGGGAACTGAGGGCCCTGGGGATGGAGGGTCCTGACTCAGGGCAAGAGTGGACCCCAAGCTCATCCCAACTCCACTGGGAAGGGGGTACGCTCTGCAGACCACACCAACACCACGACTGGTCTGCAGACCAGAAACCAACACCACGACTCGGCCCAAAAGCACCAACTCTCCATGCAGGGATTCCAGACACAAATATGACGCGTTGCGCAGCCCACGGGCAGGTTTATTCCAAACACATTTCCACCCCGCGCAGTGCTTCACGGGACGCCGGCGTGGCTTCTCTCCAGCCCACACTGATCACACATAGACATTGTTACTCTAACTTTCCCCGCCAACTTCCACCAGACAAGGGTCTGTGGGAACCACAGAGCAAATCTCTCTTAAATATAGGTTCATCACCAGTAAATATCAAAAATAAAATCACTGCCTTGCACTGGCTTGTTCATTTTCTGGGCGGCATCGATACATGCTCTTGAAAAACAAGAGAGCTTTGAATGGGCAGAAATACAAGTATTTACACAGGAAGTGAGAATAAGAAGTGTTTTGTGAGGTATAAATTACTATAGCACAAGTTACTGTGTAGAAAAAAATAAACTTACAGTGAATAAATATAAACCAGCTTTATAATCAAGTCATGTGTGAAGTATAAAAACTAGTTCCTGTCTATGTACATATGCACATATAAAAATGCGTGTGCTCTAGAGTATAAATATAGTGTGGACTTAAATATTTCACATAAAAGGACAGAGAGTGCATCTATTTTCGGTTTTGTAAGTTAAAATACAGCTGGCAGTTGGGGTCCCCTCTGGTCTCTGGAGACCCTGGGATCCTCTTCCCACTCCAGGGGTAGACGCACCAGCACAGCCCCGCCTCGCCGTCCAGGGAGGTCTCGCACTGCAGAGAGAGGACCAAGGTCAAAGGAAGAGCCACTTGAGAAGCTGCCCATGGGATGGGGGGACCAGCAAACCCAGTACACTCTTGGTCCTCATCCTGAAGCAGGGACAGTGGCTGAGTGGCACATGCCCCGTGCAGTGGTATGGCATGTGACAGCTACCTGCCCCACAGCCCTAGTGCCCGGGGAGCCTAACCCCAAGGCAGCATGCCCTGGCTGTGTTTTTGTTGTGTACCAGGAATCGAACTCAGGACCTCGCACTTACCAGACAGGCACTGCGCCGCTGAGCTAAATCCCCCGCCCTCTGAATGTGAACCATTGTTCCCATCTGTTGTAAATCGGTGCCTGGACTTCAGATCCCTCCAAGAAAATCCTCAAAATCTATGCTTTCTGGGTCTCAAGGGCTCCTCGAAATTAAGTCCTGGGTTAGTTCAATCTCATTTCTTCTTTGGAAAGTCACAAAAATGCTTCTGCATGGTGTCATAGTAAGAGCCATTTGAAGAGCTCCCACCTCTCCTGAATTGGATTAGAGGGGTGCTTGAGCCCCGAGTTCTAAGACCTGTAAGCATCACCTATCTTCGGTACTCACTCAGCCCCTGGGGATACAGGTGAGCATACACTTCCAGCTCTTACCCTAGGATTCTAGGCTGCCCATCAGGCCACCTGGGACTGGCTTCTCCTGGGCCCCATACAGGGGGATCTTATTCACGAGACCAGATGGGTGTGTATTTAGGACTGGACGTTCTTTGCCATGAAACTTGGGGCCTTGCAGAATGTGGGTGGCCATGACTGCCCCCAGGAGCACCCACATGCAAGACCACCTACCTGTTTGCTGTGATAGAATCCATTCTTGTTGCAGTTAGGCAGATAAAATTTGTAGATTTCCTCCCCGGCCTGCTGTTGCCCATTGGCTAGTCTCTCCAGCACTCTGTAGAGCTCTCGCTGGCACGGCTGCCCAAACAAATGCTTGGTATTAGGACAGAGAGCAGAGAACGTGAATCCCCAGCCTGAGAAAGAAGGCTTTGCATGGGCAGGAGCACCTAGCCATGGCAACTAGGACCGAGTCTCAAGTGTCAAACGTCATTTGCTCCCTGCATGTGACAGGGGCTGGTCACTGTCTTGAGGCACCAGGGTAATGGATGAGAACCGCGTTCTCTCCCTCTGCACACTTCCTAAGCACCTAGGCAAAGGTGTCCCTAGGCAAGCGCCCAGTCAACAAAAGCCACAAAATACCTCCCGTCTCCTTCAGGCACCTGCTGCGGAAATGTGACACCTGCCATCTGATGCAAGCAGGCACCACTCCCTGAACGGGACTGCAGCAGCACTGATGTCTGGACTCTGAACAACTCTCTCCTCTGCAGCCTAAGCTAATTCCACACCATGCAACTCAAGCTAGGAGCCGGGTAACCCCCACTTCATCCGGGTAACCCAAGTGAGGATCACATCTGTCCTACGTTTGTCCTCAGTTCCAGATGAGCTTCTTAAGCTCCTAAAGAACGCTTCTCTCACTTCTCTGGGGCGTGCATGTTTGTGCCAGGGATTCTCTTCCTCGCTTTCCAGTCACCATCAAATTAATTCACCCCGCTCCAACGCTGGTTCTCTGTCGCCCTCTAGTGGTAGAATGAAAACCAGCTACTAACGCAGGCAGAGATCGGAGAGCCCCGGAGGATGACAGGAGATCTATACTCAAAGTGGCTAGAGCTGTCAATTTTAGGGTTCACGTTGTACCCTAATTATTTGCAAAAATATACAGTGGTGAGTGCTGAGATCCTCGTGCTCAGCTTCAAGTTGGTGTAGCGACTTTGTCCTATGCCCTGCTTTTAGGAGTGAGCTCAGGTAACCGGTGTGAAGGTCTCCCCGCCCAGGCTCACCTTCCACTTTTTGATGTCTGTGACACCGTGGGCCCGCATGCTGTCATAGGTGCTGATGGCGTTCCAGAGGATGGGCAGGTCCTCCCGTGAGGGGGCCATCAGGTGGAAACTCTCCAGCAGCTGCTCCTCTGTCATCTCCCCACTCTCGGGGTGCTCCTGCTGGGGGGCCAGGGGGACCTTGGCCTCTGGAAAGGAAGCACCCCAGCCCCATGAGCTTGCAGCATTTCCTACCCCAAGACATTCCCTCATCTCAGCACCAGGCAGGGAGTCTTGATGTGGGGGGGGGGGGTTCCCGGAAGATCCCTGACCCAACAGCTATTCTCAGTCTACTCTGGAGAAATGGGAAGATTTCGGGTGTCACCAGGGAGGCCTGTGGGTTTGCTTCTGTGGTAAAAGCAAGAAAGCCATGTGTGCATCTGCCCATTCGTGGGGAACCTCAGAGCCTCGACATTCTCATCCGTTAAAGGGGCTTTGATAACACTCCGGGATCAGGGAGTGGGATCATCAGAAGCAGGATCTACAGTACCCCTCTCCTGAGACAGATGCCTAGCCTCTTCTCTTTTGGGGGATCTGCCAGTCCATGTAGCCAGTGACTTCTCTGCAAGACCCAAAAGTCAGGGAGGTAACAGCCACCTTGCCGGCAGACTCCAGGGGTGAGCAGCAGAGCCCCACACCCACCCAGGGAAATCCTTCCCTTTGTGGACTCTTGAGAGGGCCTTTTGCATTTACTGGGCAGAGGATCAGCAGGAAAAGCTGGTCCCCTGGGAAGGGTCATGCGCTCTCCCTGGGAAGGGTCATGCGTTCTCGGGTCGATCCCTATCAGCATATGGAAGCACGAGACCCCTGCAAGCCTCATACAGGATGTGCCACCAGCCCTGATGGGGCGATAGGCACTGGGGAGGAGGAAGAGGCCTTTCCTCAGCTTCCTACTACAAACAAATCGCAGCTCAAATTCAGGAAGTGACCTGATTGTCCCGTTCTCAGGGGACAACATACACATCAAACATTGTTTGTCTATGGCAATGAATGGAAGTGAAGTTTTTAGCCTAAATTTTCACATTATGTTCTACAAACAGCTGGGAGGCACCCAGTATTCACAGGATGTATATCACAAAGGACATTCCAAACACCTCCCTTGGGGCCAGCAGGAGGGAGTTCCCATCCTAAACCTTCCCGGAGGAACTTTCCAGCCTCTGCAGGGGAGAGGAGAGGCCTTGAGGTGGGGTCCACTGCTGGCAGCCCCACTTGGCATCGATGGCTGTCTAGAGATGGGGGGCGCTAGGCTCTCTCCCCCCACCTCCCTCAGGGTAAGTGTCCACCTTCACTTTCTCTTGTCTCCCGGGTTACCTCCCTCCAGGACCAAGCCATGCTCGGCCTCCTGTGGGTGACTTAAGCACCTTTCTGTCCCACATCTCCAGTTGCAAGCAATGGACCCAGGGTATGGGAACTGTCTTACCTTCCCCCTTGGTGCTGGACACAGTCCCTGAGGTGGACACAGCGGGCTCCTTCACACAGATGCCCTGGCCGCGGGTGAGGGCCTGCAGTGGCCGGGGCTCCCCGGGCTGTGCACGGCAGCTGAGTCCCTGGGCACAACGTGCAGTGGCCACGCCACAGGAGGCGCCGAGTGGCAGGGCACACACAGGGCAGCAGCCACAGCCTGCGGGACGGGAGACCTCCTGGCATGAGGCAGGCACTGGTGGGCAGAGTGCCAGGCGCTCAGCGGAGCAGGGCGCACAGTGCCATGGTTGGGGTGCACCAGCCACCACAGCAACCTGGATAACTAGCAGGAGCAGGAGCGGCCCAGGGCCGTGGGCTGAGACTTCAGGCATTGCAGAGCAGTAGATGGCTCTCACTGGATGTGGTCAGTGCTGGGCGCAGGTGTCGAAGGTGCAGAGGTGGATGCTCACAGATAGGCAGCTGAGCTCAGGGTCTGATGCTGGCTGGTCGCTAGCGGAGGCTGCAGGCGATGCCTGTGGGGTGAGGCTGGCCCCTTATAAAGCCCCAGCCCCTGGGACCCCGAGGTTAATGATTGTCAGCATGCTCTAAGCCCAGTGTTCAAAATAAGTTTGTTTTGCTCGTGGGCCCTACGCAAACCGTGGGTGGAAGGAGGGTACGTGGTTCAGGTTTTGGACTATGTTTGTCCTCCTGTTGTGGGTCCTGCCAGAGCTAAAGTCCAGTTCTGAGCACAGGCACGCAGCCGGGTGGGGGGGGGTGCTTGTTTTTGTCCTGGGGCCTGGCTGAGCCCTGCTCCCCATCTGAGCTCAGAGTGACCTAGAGACTGCTGTCACTTAGGGAAACCAAGGCCCAGGGTGGACAAAGTCTGGACAGGTTGGCCCCAGGACTCGAAGCTATGGCGGGTGTAGGAGGAGTGGGTTTCCCTAGGGAAAAGCCCAGAAACTTCACTCTCTGCCAGAAGAAGCCCCCAGCCTCAAGGAAGCCCATATTGCCCCAGGACTCTGGGCACCACTGGCACAGCCCTGGGAGGGGAAGGAGTCTCAGAGAGTCCAACCCCCAGCTGCCTGGACATCTTGGCTTGGGCCAAATGTTTACCAGTGACTGAATACAAAGGCTTTCTCTTTAAGTATAACATCTGTCTCTCTGGTATTCCCTTGAGTCAGAAGAAATAATGTTAGAGGCCTTTAAAGAAATGCCAAGCCAGGCATGGTGGCACACACCTGTAATCCCAGCACTTGGGAGGCTAAGGCAGGAAGATCGCCTTGAGTTCGAGACCAACCTGGGCTTTGTAAACAAGTTCAAGGTCAGCCTGAATTGTAAAGTGAGACTTTGTCTCAAAAAAAAAAAAAAATCAGAAATGTCCCATCTCCAGGGGGCCAGGATCCCAGAGGGACACTGGGATGGGAGGGGAGACATCTCCAGGCCAGTGTCTCCAAGCTCTGCATCTCCCCCTCTCCCACCTTCTTCCACATCCAGGGACTGGCTCAAGCAGCACCCCCAAGCCCACCCAAGCAGTATTTCCGGTGGAAGGAGGGCTTGGAGACCACCTGTCCGGCCACTCACTTTACACAAGAGGACACCGAGACCAGAAAAGGGAAATGGTCACGGGCTGTCCTGGCACATGGCAGAAAGTCGCCCACACACACACACACACACACACACACACACACACACACACACCGTCACCCTGACAGAGACTGAGGTGGTGTCACCAGTGGCAGTGGCTGGGGGAAGGTGCCCAGGCAGACAGTGCCCCAGGGTGCCTGTCTTGATTCACCCTGAGGGATGCAGGGAGTTGTCTCGACCCTGCTTCCTGGGGTGCCCTGAGGTGCACAGTTCCTGGGCATTGCTAAGGGAAGCTGTGGGATGGGGCGGAGGCACAAGTGAGGATTCTGCACCAGGCCTCAGATCCGCACCCCACAGATGATGAGATGGACTCGGGAGGGGGCTTGTGAAAGGTTTTTCATGCCACGGTAGAGGAGCAAAGGCAGAATAAAAACTAAAAGGCCTTTACTGCAGACACAGGAGAGCTGCTTTACAGTGTAAAATCCCCTACCTCCAGAGAAGCGGCTGGCTTTTATAGGGTTGGGGGATCTGAAGAGGCGGACAGAATGACGTTTTGACAGCTGACTGGGGGAACATTGGCGCATGCGCGAAACGCAGGACGGCTCCATTTCAGCCTGAAGAAGGTCATGGAAGTTGTCATTGGAGAGAAGCGCTTTCGCTGTGAGGCCAAGCACCATGATGGGCAGACTCCGTGCTGGGATCAGCTTGCACTTGTGGGAAAAGACTGACCGGTAACCTCTGCTCCGAAGCTCGCCCTGCAGTGCCCCAAACGTCAGGGCCGGGATTGGCTAAGTAACCCCGGGCATCCTTTCCCTGCTCCGCGTTCATCTGTTAGAGGAAAATCTCCAAGCTAAGGAGTTGTTCAAATGAAGGAAACATCTCCAAGCTGAGTAAACACGGAAAGACACAGAATATGGTAAAGTAATAAAAGGACCGTGAACCGGGCGTGGTGGCGCACGCCTGTCATTCCAGCACTCGGGAGGCTGAGGCAGGAGAATCATTGTTAGCTCCAGACCAGCCTGGCCTACAGAGTGAGTCCACGGCCAGCCTGAACTGCATAGCGAGACCCTGTCCCAAAAAGACAATAAATAAATGGAATGTGATTCCTGGAGATGGGTTTTTCTCTCTCTAGTACTGGTGATTGAACTCAGAGCCTTTGTACTGAGCCACATCCCCAGTCCCTTTTTAATTTTTTTTTTTTAGGCCAAGTCTTGCTGAGTCACTAGGTTGCCCAGTCTGAGCTTGAATTTGCAGGCCTCCTGCCTCAGCCTCCCAAGGGTTACAGGTGTGCACCACCATACTGGGATCCCTGTAACCTTTCTTAGCCTCTTGGATTCATAGCGGATACTTAACTTCTGGTATAGGAGCTATCTAAATAATCACCAAACTGAAATTAACATACTGCTTCTTCTGTTAGCCCTGTTTCCTACCATCAAAGGAGGGACTTGATTTTGCTGTGGGCTTTTGTTCAATCTGAACAGTCACAATAGGTAAGTAAAAGCAGTTGTTGAAAGTTTGTGGTTGTGTTTGTTGTCTCTGGTGGTTGATTGATTGTATCAGCTTGAGTAAGAAACTCAACTAAATTGGCTCAGCAATTCCACACTTTAGGGTGTGGAAGAGCCTCCTTGCAGCAGCTTATCACCTGAATGGTGTAAATGGCAGTGAGGAAGGACGGATGTGTTTCTGTTTCTTCAGAGGAGCTCTGGTATTCCCTTTCACTGTTGCCTTGAACGCCATCTCCTGACTTCCAGTGCAGACTGGGCAACTTCCGGCTCGGATCCTTCAGCCTTCCGGCGTAGATTCTTCAGCCTTCCGTTGGTCAGACCCATCGGCCACCTGATACAGACTTGCATGGGACACTGCAGCATGCTCCAGACCTTGGACTGGACCCTAGGGTGTCAGTGTGCAGACACCCTCTGCACGCTTCCTCATCCGACTGGGTGGCTGACCATCATAAGCCAGTCCTGCAGTTTCTTACACACTGTGTATCTTGTGTTACAAATGTTTCTCTAGTAAACCCTGACTGATATGTGGTGATTTTTTAGGCAACATTCAGTATCTGGTTATGGAATTGACCACCGATTTTAAATTTTCTTTAACATTGTTTTAAATAACATTTTAAAAATTTACATTTTTAAAGTTTTTATTTGAAATGAATAGTTTCAATACCTGTCCCTAAATATAATTTCACTTCCAGAGGGAGTGTTTCTGCGCTGAATTTTGTTTTCTCTTTGGCTTCCTCAATTTGCAATCACTGCCTGCGCTTGAAATGTTTTCTTAATGAAACACGTGAAAGAGAGAATCCACAAATATTCGGGGCCCTTGTACTTGGTGCCAGACAGTTTGCCTGGTCCTGGCCAGTTTGCCCTGTTGTGTACTTGCCCAGTGGCCATCCTGACCTCTTCCCTGAGACCTGCCTTGCCCTGCATGTGGCAGAGCTTCCCGCCAGAATCAGTTCCCAAACATTTCCATCACTTGGCCCATAGCAACGACAGAACAAATACCTCCAAACCTGGAGACCAAACTCTTCGTTCACTCGCAAACCAGTGCCAACACAAATGGTGCCAGGCTTGCATGGGGTGACAGCCCTCCCCTGGCAGGTCAGAGGCACAGCTGTGACTCAGCAGCCTGCCTCACGTCACCCAGAGGTGGGCCCAGAATTCAAGTTCACTTTGCCACTTGAGTGTCACACTTTTCCCATTCATTAAAAATCCCCAACTGCACATCCACGCCCATGACGTTGGTCTTGCCATTCTTATACCCGAATTCCATCACCGGTCAGTCCATGGTCTCTCCCATCAATCCAGAAACTTCCCCAAGGCAGACTATGACAGGACAGTCCTCTTCCCTCCAGCTTCTCCGAGCAGTAATGAGCCCTCCTCACAGCGGGGAGTAAGACGTGGGGGTTCAGCTCATGGGATGCCCAGGATCCTCCCCAATAGAGCCATAAGCCGCTGTACTTGAGGTCCCAACGGTGGGGTCTTAGCCAGAAACTCTCCACGGGTGGCAGCCGGGATAGGAAGAGCGTTCCCACATCTGGGCCCTTCTCAGGAAAGGTCTGCACAATGGTGCTGGAGGCAGCGGGCTTCTCCACCCAGCAAATGACAGGGTGGCCTACTATGGGAAGAGAGTGGGAGTGGGCAGGGCTGCATCGGAACCAGAGAGGCTTAGGTGAGGACTGTGTGTAAGGCAAGGCCACCTGTGTGACCCACGTCCTTCTGAGTAGCCCGTGAGGAGTCGCTGGTATATCTGAGGGTCCTGTGACTCTCAGAGGGTGGGCGCCATTCCAAGCTCAGTTGTAGCTTCATGGCCGTTGTCTTTCTACTCTAGTTCTACCCTGGGGATTGGCCTAAATGTCCCCTCCTGCAGATGCCAGGTGGACATCGGAGGCCCCGTGCATTCCTGAAAGGTGCTGAGAAGCTAAAATGAACCCACATTCCTGCCTGTGACCATCAGGCTTGGGGGTGCCATAGCCCTTCAGTCCAGTGAATGCATAGAATACGGTTATCACCCCACAGTCACTGTGGAGTCTGAGAGTACCCAGGGTTGGGCAGGAGAGTGAGAAGCCAGTACTTTGTCATATGACATATGTACTTCGTGCCAAGCCGAAGTTACCAGTGGGTCTCCTTGCCACCAGCCAGAGGGAGACCTGTGTGCCCACCAGCATCAGGGCAGGGCTGAAGGTTTCCACCCGTTCAGGGCCAAGGCGACCTAACCTGGAAGGTGGTATTGACAGATGACTGCAGGGGCCAGAGAGGAGGACATACAGAAAGTGGCCAGTGATGCAGAATTCATGATTTGTCAACTGAACAAAAAGAGCCTCATGTCAGGAACTGACAGGCAGCCAGCCTCCTGCACCCCACTGTGACTCCTGCGCTGCAGAGGTAAGGAAGTCACCATTGTCAGAACAGTATCGAGGGGCACATGGTGACAGAGTCCCACTGCATGCTGCAGGGGGCACCAGTGACCCATCCATGCCCGCTAGTGCCCAGTGTCCTTGCCCAGGTGGGATGGTGTGTTCTTAATTTTCCTTGAAATTATGAAGTATCTGTGGTGCGTTATAAGAATCACCTTTCATCAGGCCTGGAGGGGCAGTCACACTGCCATGGAGCAAGACTGCCGGGGTCTTCGCCTGACACCCCCAGGTACCATGGCACCCCACAACCCCCAAGGGCCTCAGTTTCCTGGCAGTATGCTCAGCATAAATAAGAGTTGAATAAATGTGAGCCGTGGTCATCCGGGGCCTTGCCGGGGGCTCCTGCTGCTGCCCCGGCAGAGGTCATTGTCCCTGGGATGATGAAAGCTCAGGAGGCTTTCCGTCACCCACCTTCCCAGTTCCACCTCCATGCCGGGCGCTGGGCGCTCGGAAAGTTGGGCAATCCACGCTCTGCAAAGCAAAGCAAGGGTCAAGGGCGACGTGAGACTTTCACAGCGGGAAATGCCGCAACCCAGGGAAACTTCAGAGGGAAATTGTTTTCAAGCTGGGGAAAAACACGGAAACCTGGCCTGCTTGGGTCTCATGATTAACACGGGAGTCATGCAAATCTGTGCAAAGGTCCAGCATGCTGTCCTTATCTACTGGGTGGATAAAGGACACCGACAGAAAGGTTGGAAAAAATAGCTCACGCCTGTGCTGCCTGCAAACTGAAGTCACACACTCTGTCACATCCACAAGGCCAGCTCCTTAACACGGGATGAACCCAGGGCCTGTGTCCAGGGCCCTGCAGCAAGACAAGGCTGTCAGGCTCAGTGATGGTGAAGCCCCCTCCTGGTCCCCTAGGCATTAGGATGAGGGGACAGCTATTGAACTCCAGGCACCAGGACAGTGCACATTCCTTCGCCCCGTCATGCAGAAAGGCTACTTGGTCAGGGACCTGGGAACTTGGTGGGTACAGAGGTGGCCACCCTTCTAGAGCAGCCTGGAGCCCCTGGGGCCCTGCACATGGTGTGGGGCAGTGTAGATGGCAGGGAACCTAACAGGGGACACCAGGCTAGTGCGTCACTGCTGGGATGCCTTGCCAATTCCTGGTCACTTCATTTGCGCACAAGCAAGACAGCCTCCTACCGTGCCTGAACCATTGTGCACATGGGCCAGAAGGGCAGAGGTGGAAGGGGCCCAAGAACCAGCCTGGCGTGCAGAGAGACATGCTGGGTGTGGGGACATGGGTGGGGCCACACTGGGTCCTCAGCAGTGACATAGGACAACATCGCTAATGCCTTGTTTCCCCATGGACAGAAGGAATAGTATCCATCGCATTAAGTGGCTTTGATATTAATCCTGTAGCAGGATGGTCATCAGAGTCACTGAGTCCTTCCCCAGACTTAGCCCTGTGCTTAGCCAGGACTCGAGACAAACACCTGTGATGAGCTTTGCCTTCTCCTGGACTGGCCTGGGACAGCTTGGGTAGACAGAGGCTGATGCCAGCAGCAACCCAAAGCCTGTTCCCAGGAGGACTGTGTACTCAGGCCTTCCATGCTCTTTCTAGAAAAACAGGCAAGAGGATTCAAAGAAATTAAAATTTACCCATCATCTTGCTCCTGGGTGTCACTGGGATTATTGATGCCTCTTTTATTTTTAATTTTTGGTGTGGTGGTGGAGGTGGTGATGCTGGGGACTGAATCCAGAACCTTTGCACGCAGCTGCATTGCCGCCCCTTTTTACAAATATTTTTAAAATTTTGAGACAGGGTTTCAAGTTGACCAAGCTGTACTCAAACATTCAGTCTGGGAGGACTCCCAGAGAGCTGGGTTGGTAGGCGTGTGCCACTACATCATGATAACCACTTCTGTTTGTACACGTGTGTGCACGTGCATATAATTTTGAAAATAACACACTGAGTGCTGTATTCTATGGGCTTTTCTCATTTAACATATTGCAAATGTCTTATGTGTAGTACATGTAACAGCCTACATGGACACACATATGTGCACACATACACCCCTGCACACGCTTGTACACACGTCATTCCTGCACAGTAACCCTCTCCCTTGATCAAATTTATTCCATCACTGTTTTGTTTTCCCTGGTTGTTTGCATTGCATCTATTTGGGCACCTAAAGATAATGCTCTGTGGACAGCAGGAGATAAGGGACAGCTCTGTCTGGTCGGCTCTGTCTAGTCGGCTCCTGGCATGGAACTGCTGGTCAAAGGTCACTCATACTTCTAAACTGAATGCACATGAATGCCAACTGCCTCCCAAGAGCCCCTCTGTGGTGGTCCCTCGCTTCCTGAGGTATGAAGGAGCCAGAGAAAATAATTTGGAAACAAAAAAATTATTTATTAAAGCACAGGCCTGGCGACGCAGCCTCCAGTAGCCAATATGGAAGACTGCCCACCTGACAACTAAAGGCAGGGTTTTTATCCTGTAAAACTGCAAACAGCTGCTGGTCTTCACAATGCAGGGGAGTGGGTTTGCAGCGCACTATAGAACAGGAACACAGCGGTTACATTTCTTGAGAAGAACAAGGTTCAGGTGGGCTAACAAGCAAGTTTAGATTAGGCAAACATCTGCCCTCCAGCAGGGTGGGACCGTTGCCCCTTCTGGCCAACACATATCCAACCCTTACACCTCTGGCAGGGCACCCTGCTGCCCTGGCTGTGTCACTAGGCCAGGAAGGACTGGTCCCCCAGAGCCCCCTGGCCTCTGACTGCCTTGTTCAGTGCTTCATGAAGCTTCAGGATGACCTCACTGCTCAACACTCTCAACTTCCTCCGTCACCAGTGGACACTCCAGGCAGTGGGTGAGTGCAGGCTGGACTCGGCCCTGTCCACAGACCTGGAGGCGGAGTCAATGCCATTTCACCACAGCTGTGCCCCCCTGGCTCAGGTGCCTGGGTCTGCAGATGTTTCATAGCTGGAAGCCCTCCCATGCTCCATCTTACAGAGAAGGGAAACAGCTCGCCAGTGCCGCGAGGCAAAAAATAGTGTGTTCTAAAAGTGAGAGAGAAAGGAGCACACAGAGCATAAGAAGTTGGACGAGGCAAGCCAGGCTCTCCTCTCAGTTCTGCTAAATTCCACCGGTGACCCCAGCAATGCACCCAAGTCTGTGGACACAGACTTCCCTCATTAAAATGGGCTGTCTACCCATGTTACTCTCCAGGTGCTGTAGGGAGGATGCAGTTAACACAAAATATCATGGGCAGATCCTTCTTATTGTCACTAGCTTAATCAAATGTGGTCTTTATATAATATCTTAAACTAAACTAAATAGCATATGCATCAACTATCCCCATAAACATATTCATTGTGTATTGCACACATTATACACAGTGGAGTGCTGCTCTGCCATAAAGAAGGACACGTTGGGGTCATTTGTAGGAACGTGAACGCACCTCGAGACCATAATGCTGTGAATCAAGGGCAGGGCATACACATCACGTGACTTCGCCGAGACACTCAAAGTAAAAGATAAATAGTAAGAAACATGAAGACACAACCTTTGCCAAAAAGAAGGGAACCGAGAGATGGAGGAGGGGAAGGGAGGGGAGGGGAGGGGAGAGCAGGGGAGGGCAGGGGAGGGCAGGGGAAAGGAGGGGGAGGGGAAAGGGAGGGGGAGGGGATGTATAGTGTACCGATACCAACTCCCTGGCATGAATGCGATTATCGGGTACTGCGAACATGTACTAAGAAAGCATTTCAACGCATTTTTAAAAATCAGATTCCTTCCTCACTCCCTAAAAAGAGTAAAGTTGCCCAAATGTTCCATCCAGAGCTGTTCCTTCCCGTCAGGCCCTGGCTTCCCGGTTGCTCTCCTATCCCACAGGTGTGGTGGGCGATGCCAATTAGTGTAGATCCGCACGGACTAAGTTACCAGTTCTCTGGGGTACTTTTTACTGCCACTCATTAACAGAATGCGCCAAAGAGGACCAGCCCCAGAGCACCCCTGGAGTCCTGCAGCCCCAGGCTGGTCCAGCGCCTGGGGTCCTCCGGGGGTTCCGAGCTGCTCACGTTTGAGAACCACCCCAAGGCTCGCAGCGTCCTTAGCAGCTGGTCCGGTGGCCAGTGGCTTGGTCTCGGATGAGTGGGTCAGGGTGATGGTCCCTCCCTTCGTGGTGTTGGTTTCCAGGGGCTTCCCCCTTGCCGGGCGTCTCCTCCCGAAGGCACCGGACGTGCCCAGGTGCACTAAGGCGTGCCCAGGTGCACTAAGGCGGAACCGGCCAGGTGCAGCTGCTCAGGGCCCCGAGATGCGCCAGGCTCTGCGTGCAGCCGCGTGGGCGTGAGCAGGGTCGCGGCTCCGGCGTCTCCTGAGGCTCCCGGGCCACGTGCGGCAACTGCCGGGCAGCGATGGAGCTGGGCGAACAGGTGGGCTGCACCAGGCGGGCACTGAGGCGCTGCGGGTGGCCAGGATGGACATCCAGGGAATGCGCAGCTGCCGCTGCCCTGGCTGCTCTGGGTACTGGGTAGGGCAGGCCCCTACTCCACTCCTCCTCCCCACCCTCCCCCTCCTTTACCCGTCGCCCTACCCCTCTTCCCCAGTTTGTCCCCCCCCCACTTAGTCCTCCTAGCCCCGAGTGACACCCCGCCACGCCCCCATCTCCCACCCCCCCATCCCCTCCCCCCACCTCACCCCCTCTATCCGAGTCCTGGGTGTACCCTGGGTCATCTCCGCCACACCCAGAGGCACCCTAACCTCCTGCCGGAGACCCTGGGCATTTGTCCTTCCCCTGCACTGGCCTGTGTGGCCTCAGATATCTGGTTGGTAAGATCCTCCTTAGCCCCTGAGGGAGGTCAAGAAGAGACCAGTGGCCCCTCTGTCTGGCCGGAAAGGAAAACGCCGTAAGCTGTCTGCACAGAAGGGAAATGAAGCACCGGGCCCTGCGGGCTTAAGAGGGTACTGTGGGACCTCACCGACCTGCTTCCTGCAAGTGCCTCACAGGGCTCATCCTGGCCCTTAACTACCTCCCCTAGCCTGGGGTCCTGGGCTCCGCTGAGGTCTCCTGTGCTTGGGCTGCACCCCGGCCCTAATGGTACTATTGTTACTGTTCTTTTGTTGAGGTTTTGTTGTTTTATTTTTCTCTTTTACAAGTCTGAGAAATGCATTCTTGTGATTTCAAAAGCTGCAAGGCATAAAAAGTGACTTGAGCCCCTCGCACCATAAGCCAATGTTCACCTTAGCGGCTTCTAGAGCTTAGATTCTCATTTCCCCTCCGTTTTCACAAAAGGCCAACCCAAACAGAGGCTTCCTATCAGTGCAGACAGAGCACTTGCATAGTCTGTCTGGCTGGATCACAAGGACAGAAATCCGGGTCGTTTTCAGTCTTCTGTAGCACGACAGGGTGGGCTTCCACACACAACGCCGTTTGGCACGTGGACCTTTCTGGAGGACAAATGTCCAGGAAAAGCCTGGTGGTCTAAGGAAGCCCCACGCTTACGTAATTGGGTGCTACGAAGCTCCCTTCCAGAGGGGCCTGCCCGGGGTCCTCCGCGCCCAGCTAAAGCTCGCAGAATTTCGCTGTGTATCAGGCCCACAGATGAAGACAAACCATGCTTTGCTTTCAGCCTAATCTGCATTTTTATTACCCAGAATGCGGTGGAGTGGATGTGTGGCAAAAGTCTGGTTTCTAGGAAGTGTTGGGAAGCCATGCTTCATCCATGAGGCCACTGTGCTCCTAAACCATAGGAAGGGTAGTGGGTGCTTGGTCACTGTGTATCGGAACTGCGATTTGCCTTTTACTTTGTCGTTTTTATTCTTTTGCTTTGCAGAAACTGATTGTATTTAGTATAATTCTTTTCTTTGATGGCTTCTATGCTATGCATCTTAGAAAGTCCTATTTAGGACAAGATCACAGAATAATTCACTCACATTTCCTCCCAATGCTTTTATAAGCTTTATACATTTAAGTCATTCATATGGAACTTATTTTAGTGAATGGGTTTAAAGAACCCAACTTTGTTTGGTATTTTAAAGGTTTTTTCTTGTTAATTTATGGACTTTTAAGAGTCTGATCTTCAATGCTTTATTTTTTTAGTGCAAGGCACAAGACAGGGTTGTTCTATGTTTTGCAAATGGCCAACGAAGCAGAAGAATGTGTGATAAAAGAAAAGGGAAAAAACCTCCCTCTTCCCTATTCATCTGAGGTGATGCTTGTTACATGGGATGTTTACACAGCTACATCTGGAGCATCACTTCCGGATGCTGACTTGTTTTCCCTGTGACCTTTCTGAGATCAATCGTAGGAAGAGGCTACTTTAATAAAACTACATTTCCCTTTATATATATATTTAGAGTCTCATTTCCCCTCATATGTATATATTCTTCTTTCTCCTCACCCTCTTTTATTTCCTGATATCTTGGTCTCTGAAATAGATGTACTTACAATCTCCCTTACCAGTGCCAATTTCAAAGTAATTTCTTATCCAGCAATCGATATACCCATAGACATTGGCACTGGTTTGGATTCATCACCCCAGTAAGCCTCATATGCGAAGCAAACACTCTCATCTATTTCTCTCCTCAAAGACACTTGGCTCCCTGTTACTTCAACTCCTTCCAGGTTTTGTTTCTTGGGGATTTGGGGAGGGGGTACCAAGGATCATACTCGTGACTTCACACTTGCCAGGCAGGTGCTTGTACCACTGAGCTAAATCCCCAGCAGCACTATCTAGTTTTTCTTCTCCAAGGTGACTACCAGGAAACGCTCTGCACAGACCGGATGTGAATTCCATCACGGGATGCAGTGTTCACGGTTTCTGGGATGCAGTTGTCCCCATGAGTGCACTGAGGGCTGGGTTCTCTGACTTCAGCCTTGACCAGAGGGGTCTGGCTCCCCTTTGACCTTGATTCAAGGGCCCTGTTTCCAGGGTGCTCGTGTGTCTTCCTGGGCTTCTCTCTTGTGAGCTCTGTGTTCTTCCCGATGCCTGGCCCTGTCCAGGTGACAGACACAGAATTGCTAATCAGCAGCACTGGCAGGCAGGCATGGCTTTTTGTTTTTGTTTTTTTTTTTTTTTAGAATTTCACCCTCCTGGTTTAGAGACCACTCTATGTTCTCCTAAACCCGGACCAAATGGAAGTCTTAATGTTTGGGGATGTCACTGACTGCAGTGCACAATGAAACTGGAAACTCTTACTCTCCTTACCAAAAAGGAAATGCCAGCAGTCATCCCACAAGCAGCTGGGGATTTAGCTCAGTAGCACAGGGCCCGCCTGGCAAGGACCCTGAGTTCAGTTCCTGGTACACACACCTCCACCCCCAAAATCATTCCACAGAAGCAGAGCAAAGCAGAATGAGCAACCTGGTGTTGCTTTGAACTTTACCTCGATCAGTAGGGAGTCAGATGGAGTCTCTGTGATGTCCTTAGCATGATGTGTCTCGCCCACCGAGGGGAATGACAGCCGGCGGGTGTCAATCGCCATCAGGACATTTGGCAGGCATGGTTTCAAGGGTGCTGGAGAGGCACATCTGCCACCAGAGGTCTCATTCCAAGGCCTCCTCGGATGCCAAACCCACAGATGCCGCGGGTCCCTGTGTAAAATGGCATGGTGTTTCCATGGGATCAAGGGACACCCTTTAAGTCCTCTCCAGGTGACTTTTAATACTGAACCTAATGAAAGTGATGTGGAAACAGTTGCCACCTCTGTTGTGAGGGAAGTTACAACAAGAAAAAACAAGCCACTTGCTCAGTACAGTCTCTCTCCCCGTCTCTCTCTCTCTCTCTCTGTCTGTCTCTCCATCTCTCTCACTTTCCTGCTCTGCAGTGCATTGGCACCATGCATGGCAGACCCTGCTGGCACAGGAAGCCCAGGCAAACTCTGGGCTCAGCTTACACTTGACCAGGGTGGCAGTGTCGGGACCCCAACCAGCACCTCCCACCCAGCTTGCTGACCTGCTTATGTGTGGAAAGCTGCAGCCTCTGTGAGCAGGTCCATTTTTGGGGGTTGTGGGTTTGCTTCTCAAGACGATCCAATGATGTCTTCCTGTTTTTCCTGGAGAAGGGTTTACCTGGCTGTCCCCTGTGCTTCAATCCTATGCTTGCAGACCTATCCCTGATTGAAGTCCTGGGTGACACACTCACTTGTGACCTAGACTGGGAGGGTATGGTCCCCAGGTGCTGTGTGTCCCCTCTGGAGTGACACCATTCTGGTCTGTCTTCCCTGATGGTTGTGCTCTGATAACACTATGCCTGAGGTGGGATTCAGGGTCCATCTGGAGGTCTCAGTACTGTCCAGGACTAGATCTGTGTTTTCCTTTTCAGATCCCTGAGTTGAGCTCCTCGGAGGATGAAAGCCCCCCTCGAATGCCAAGGAGGCCACCCTGGAAGATGCCCACCAAGCACAGCACCCCTGAGGGGCAGGAGCCAGCCCTGCACTGGAGCCCAAGGCCTAGGGGCCAGGCCTCCTACCTTCGAGAGTCCCCAGTGCCTGCGCACTCCACCCAGGACCTTGGGTCCCACCTAGCAGGGCTCAGCCCTGGGGCCACCTTCAAGAGGAGGAGGCTTTCCACCATCTATGCCTTGGAGGAGAGGCCCAGCATGCAGGCAGGGTCCTGCTCGGACCCCTCAGCTCTTAGGGATGACTCACCAGTGCCAGCCTCATTGGCCAGGTCGCAGCAGAAGGCAAAGAACCTGCAAGCAAAGAGCTGGCCACGCAGCACAGGTCTCCCCGGGATCCCAGACACAACCAGGAGGAAGAGACGAGATCCGAAGGGGCAGGCAGCCGTGGTAGGTCTCACCCTGTCTCTTCCCGTTCCTCCAGAGGGTTCATGACACCCTACCATGGCCTGCTCAGCACTCACTCTGCCCAGGAGGTCACCAGGGCCACCAGCCTTCCTGACCCAGCACTGTCCTGTGTTGAGACAGCTCCCTGATCTGAGGGGCCCCTGCAGCTAATGTCACTGTGAAGGCTGTGACTTGCCAGCCAGGGGCTCTGTATGCTCTCTGTGCTTGGTCCCCATCTGACAGTGACATGGAGCCAACTGTCTCCACAGCTGCGGCTGCTGCTGAGAGGCTGGTGGTGTCAGTCTCTATGGAAGCCATCTGCCTGGGCAGGGTTGGCTCCCTCCTGCACTTCCACTGCTGACCTCTCCTGGGTTCCCAGGGCCTGGCCAACATGACCCTGACCCTTCCCAGGCATGGCGTGGGGGCAAAGCTGTCCCACCTTCCCACAGAAAATCAGGCACCAGGGCAGCAGCTGGGGGGAGATGGGTGCTGTCCCTTCTGGTCAAGGGACAGGAGGATACCACCCAACGGGCACCAGCAGGAAGTAGACTAGTCCCTTAGGAATGTGTGATGCTCCCTCCCAGGGCCCCCCTGCTCCTCAGAATCCCAACTCCTGGAAGCAGCTTGGAGACCTTAAGCAGCAGCAAACATCTGGCTCAGGTGCGCCAGGAAAGGGGTGCACCCCTGGACATCCTGAAGATTGTCCTGTGGTCTCATTTCTCCCTGCCTCCCTCCTGTCAACTCTGACCTCAGGCTCACACCCTGCCACCACCACCCTCCAATTTTGTGGGTTCATCCTCCCACCCTGACAGTTCCAGTGCCTTCCAGACAAGGGCACTGCCTGGGGACCCCTGCCTTGTCCCTCCACCTGACCGGCAGGTGCGGCCCCTCTGTCTGAGGCATGGGTGGGGGCCAGGGTGGGGCTGGCCGCTGTCTCTGCCTTGAGTGCGCGTGCCAGACCTAGAGGACACCTCTTAGGTAAGCGCATTTCACAGTGCACAACCTGGTCTCCAGTGAAGAGCTGCGGAATAACTGAGGCCTCTCTCCTGAGCAGATGCTGCGGGTGAGAGAGTGGGAGGCCCGCCTGCTGCGGGACATTGAGGCAGCCGTGCAGCATGAGCTCACCATCCAGGCCGAGGGCGAGCCTAGCATGGGCATGATCCAGGTCAGTGTCCAGGAGCCCGCCACCTCGGACTGACCGAGCCGTCCACACCTGCTGCCCTGCTGCACCCACTGCCGTGAGGTCCATACAGGATGCAGCGTGAGGGGATTTTGTGTCTGAGGTGCTGAGGGGCAGGAACTGGAGGCAGGCTGTGTGACTTGAAAGATCCTGGGTCTGACTGAGCCTCTGTTCTCCGACATCTGGACTGGTCACGGGGACATCTCTGTGCTTGTCTGACCCTCATCATTCTTATCTGGAGAATGACAGAAGCCCGTCCCAAGGCAATGAAAGAGCATAGGACCAAGGCCGCACAAGGGTGGCTGTGAGTCCTGCTCCCTCTGCCTGGGGAGAGACCTGGTTAAAGACACCTCCCAGGACGCCTGCATAGACCAGCAAGACAGAGGGTGGGGGGAAGGTGGGCAGGAGGAAAGGAAATTGGCTGCAGGCATTCAAAATGGGGCCCAGCCAGGCTGGTTCTAGTAGGTTCTCTGGGTTCCCTGGGACCCCGACTCTCAACTGAGGGTGGTGGAATCTGCAGGGACACTTCTGTGGCTCCCTGGGTGGCACTAGAGGAGTGTGACCTCCTGCAGTTGCCCGGGGTGCTTGTGTCCTGCTTAGCGTCAGGGTCCTCCCGAGCGCTGGATCTGTCACTCCCAGACCATATGACAAGGAAGAGGGGAGTCTAGGCCAGAGGAGCCTCAAGTCCCACACAGTGCCAGCTTCAGGGCCACCTTTGCAAGGAAATGTCATGGTCACTTAAATATAGAGCTATATGGTATTCTCAGAAATCACCACATCTCACACTCTGTCTTAAAAGGATTGGGGTTTTTTTTCTTGCTAAAAACAAGTATGCTTACATTTCCCGCCTTCCAGTCTGCACTGCCTCCTAACTGACCCCTCTGTGCATCTGGGCTGGGTGGGCTGGGTCTCCTCAGGCATAGGGACAGAAGATTATTACTATTATGGGGTCAGATAGGGCCACCCTAAAAGGGAGACCTCAGACTGGGCCAAAAACCAGGATGCGACAGGTGCTAAGGACATGCGAGGTCCAGGGTGCCGTGTTTAAAGAAATGGGGAAAAGTCTCAGTCACAGCCTAGGTAGGAAGTAATTCAGATCCGGGACGGGTTGAACGATTCCAGCAGAGAGGAAGATAAGACTCTTCACAAAGGAGGAGGGCCAGCCTGGCAGCAGAGTTCAAATTCACCCAACACACTTCATAAGGAACAAGAATTCATTGTTTGAGTCCTATGTTTAAATATTGGCGAGTTTTCTAGACTAGTTCAACCTACTCAAACTGTTTGCTTTTTTTCTTTTTTCTTTTTTTCCTAATTATCAGGTTGTAAAATTCTCAGATTTATAAAAATGCTACAACTTGATTGTTTCAAATAAGAAAATGTAAAAATAGAAAGCAGAAAAAATCACCTGGAACTACATAACAGCATGATAGATCTCGAGGGGCCAATTCCTTCTGACCTTTATTACTTAAAATAAATTGTTTTCACGAGAACTGCTCTAAGTCTGCACTTCATGCAAATTGATTCAGACCCAGAGTCAAGTGGACTCTGTTGTACCTCTTGTTTCTCAAAGAATGAAATCGAATTTCAGGGTGAGTCCCTGCAGGAATTTGCAGAAACAACGTCTTGGAAGGTTGTGGGGTGTGGGCACTCTGAGGAAGGTCTGCGGGCCCAGATTTCCTGGAGATCTGTGCCTCGTTTTCTAGGATGGTGATATGCTTGTGCAGTCCGAGTCTACGTGGTCACCCCCAGGCTCTCCCATAGGGTGATGATTCAGATGCAAGTCTACGGAACATTTCACAGATATGAGGATCACAGTGTGTGTGCGTCCTGCCCTCAGGAAGATGTCACAGGAAGCCAGCTGCAGGAGGAAGGGGTGCTACGACCCCAGTGGCCAGACAGGGGTGGAACACAGCCCCTGTTAATCTTTCTGTGACTCTCTGGAGAGGAGGCTGTGAGACTGGGAATGGGGAACAGGGCAGTCCCAGATCATGACACACAGGACTAGGACTAGGGTTAGGATTCCTTTTTTTTTTTTTTTTTACCAAGGATCGAGCTCATGACCTCATGCTTGCCAGGCAGGCACTTATGCTGCTGGGCTAAATCCCCCACCCCTGGGTTAGGATTCCTAAGTGGAGGATTTTGTAAGCACCTGGCTGGTAAGGACAGTGCATGGCAGAGGCTTGCTTTGGAAGAAGCAAGATATAACCTGTTCTGTTCCTAGGTATAAAAATGATTTCCTCCACCCTCACAGTGTGTGCAAACCCTTACAGCTTGCAGAAGATGCAAGTTGTAAAAGCCTCGGATGTTTTGTGGATTCAATCATAAATGCATTCAATACCTTCTCTCCCTTGGTAGTTTTCCTCGGATTGAAAATGCCCAGCACTCTGAGAAGCTGCTCCTTCTAACTTTTGTGGACATCAAATGTCATATTTGCATCTGTTGCCCGCACACCCACCACCCCCTTCTCAGCCAGGGCCAGAGAATCGATAGGGGCACTATCATGCTCTGCCAGATGACCTACCACTGGAATGGATTTAAACTGCCACCCAGGACACTTGGGTAGTTTGTGTATTTGGTTTTTGGAAGATGCCACTTTTTGTGAGTTTGGTGCATTGATTTCTGTTGTATTTTCATCCTCTTTGGCTATGTAACATGTGATCCCAGATGCAGTGGTGCAGAGATCCGTCACTGCATTATCTGCCACCACTGAGCTTTGTACCTGGAGGATCTGGGCAGGAATCCACCTTTAGGCTCATGCAGCTTGGCAGAAGGTGGTTCTTGGGATTCTTCTGTTTGTTCCCTGGTTGTCAGGGGCACAGCTCTATCCCCAGGCCCTAAAGGGCCCCTACATTCCTACTTACATGGCTCTGTTTTCAGGCCACTAAAGGTCACACAAACCTCTCATCCTCGGAATCGCTCCAGTTTCTCCTTCTGCCATCAGTGAGAGAGTTCTCTGCTCCCAGAGCCCTTGGGAAGCACAGTGAGCCCTACCCCGTGGCACAGGCAGGAGAGATGCCCCTCCCACCCCAGGTTCGAAATAGGGGGGCATGATGTCTTGGGGGGCATCTTAAGAAGTCAGCCAATTCCTGACTTTTCATCATAAAATGGAAAGAACCGTTGTAGAAAAAAAACTGTTCATGTCTGGGATTCATTTCTAGAAGTGTAGAGCTCATTCTGCCCTATTGAAAGATATTGCCACCAACACTTGAGGGTCCCTTGAAATTTTGCCAGGTGGGCCACAGCTGCCCAGAGCAGGCGTGCAAGTGTGACCTCACTACAGCTCTGGCAGAGCAGCCTTTTATCAACATCGCCAAACAAGGGTGAATGAGGCTTCTAATGTGTTCATTAACAATGCCCTTCAGGAACACGTGTTTTCTGTTTATGTTTTTCCAACTCTGTATCTGCCTTTGATTTTTAAACACTGATTGGCATATTCCTTGCATAATAATTTTTTAAAACCTCTGACTAGGGATTGGTATTATTTGAAAGTAAAGAGGCAGTCTTTCATTACAGAGAAAAACATCACACCTGTGGTTGATGCCATAGGTCAATTTGGTTAGGCCGTGATTCCCAGATGTCTGGTCAAACCCAGTCCCACTGATGTGTGAAGATTTGACTGGTGTGATTGATACTAGGTAATCCGAGGACTCTGAATAAAGTAGATGGCCGCCACAACTGATGAGCTAAAGGTCTCAAAGTGAAAAGGCTGACAAAGATGAAATTCTGCCTGCAGTCGTTGGATGTGACCTGCTGCATGCTGAGTCCCCGAGTCCGGGCCTGTGCTGTGGACCTCAGAATCCCTAGTCCCATCAGCAGCAGAGACCTGGGCACACTCACCCTCCCTCTGTGCCTGTCCTCGGGAACCCTTGGGACAGCATACGCCGGAATAACAACTGGACACTGCTCCACACCCATCAGGCAACCAGTCCCTCATCGTTCAGTTAATTTTGGACCCCATCATACTTTGAAACTTCAGAAAGAAAACAACCTATCAGATGGTAACTCTCTCCTCCGATAGTGTGGCTGTTTTGTGGAGGAGTGATGAAATAAAGAACTTACAGGGGGAGTAAAATTAATTTATCCTGAGTCCTAAGCTAAAGGAACTTGTCAAAGCCAGAAGAAGCATTATCCTGTGGGCTACCTTGAAATGCAAGAGGCATTTATGCCAAAGAAAACGCAGAGTCCATATTGAATTTTAAATATCTGGCTGAAATCAGTCCAGTGTCTTAACTGAGTTCAGAGACAGGACTAAAATCTTGTCACTGATGAGTCGATGCTGCTGGTCTGAGTGGGGGATCCTCAGTTCTGAATAATCAAATCTCCCCTAAACGCAGGTATGCAGCCAAGGTGTCTTCCAACATCCCCGCAACCATTTATTTTTGAATGAAAATGGCCACAGCATTTAGTCAAGCGATTTTTCTTCTCTTTATTTTTGTTAAATAAGACTCCAGAAAGTATAGTGCAAACACCAAGTAGAAAAGTTGCAATTAAGAAATGTACATTCACATTTCACATTTCCATCCATTCACTTTTTTTAAAAATAAAAATAGGACAAATTAGTCAATGACTTGACTCAATTTAACAATCTTGAAAAAGACTGGAAGGTACTCTTCAGTGTCCAGTTGACATAAAAATAGACCCGTATTGATTACAAATCTATCCCGAGAAGTTACCCAGTGAGATTGCGGTACTGTGATGTGGGACAGCGTCACTGTGTCCCCGCTAAGTTTATCTCGTGGCAGAAGTCCACCCCCTGGCCACGCCACTCTCGCCCCACCGGGGGACACCTCCCTCTCTGGCCAAATACAAGTGGACACAGGCGCTCGTGTGACTGTTCTCAGAGAGAAAGGAAGTCCAGGGGTAGATATCAGGCTTGCCTTAGGTTGGGAGTCACCACGAGGAAATGGCCACGTGGTTGTGGTGGTGACTTTTCCGGGAGTGGGAGTGGAAGGATGGTTAGCACATGGTGCCTATTAAGTGCTCAAGCTACACAAACTCAGGGTCCACACGACCTGTCCTGGCTCTCGGGAGATGCTGTATACCCCGGCCTGTCCCGCTCTGCATGCTGCGTGATTCCGAACTCAAACAAAGGTCCGCACGGGCAGGAATGTCACAGCATGCAATTCTGGAGTGCAAATGGCTTGGTGTGAGCAGTGTGGACAGCGACCGAGGCAGCATAGTGGCCCTTCCACACCAGGCGTGTGTGCCCTTGGTGGTCTATGAGTCCACCCCCTGGGGTGTGCAGGAGGCGCTGTGGGTGTCCTCGGGATTCCCACAGCATGGGGGAGGTCCCCTGAGACTTGTGCTTCGTGTGCCCAGGGCCTGGGGTTGAGCAGGGGGTGCTGGTGGGATAGAGAGACAAGTTCTGGCTGCCATCGGGCCTGTGGGAACCATGTGAGCCCCTGTACGAGCTGGCCCCTGCACAGCTCCGCCGAGCCCCAGGGGACCTCCTAGCTCTCCCTGGAGTCAATGCAGGAAATGAGCTGATTAAAGACCCACTTTCAGTAAGCAGCTGAAAGCAGTTTTGGAAAGCAACCCATGTGAATGCTGGCACTGCCTGGTGCCAGGAGACAGAGACAGGCACCGGGACCGGCGCGATGACCAGGTCTTTCCCTCGCCAACCGTCCTAATCACCTCTGTGCTGATGACCACTCTCAGGCAGCTCTGCTCCCCCCACACTCTCCAGCCCCTGGGAAAGCACTTGGCCACCCATGTCCCGCCTGCACGGAGGAAGGAGAAACAGTGGACACAACTGTCAGGCTTCCCCAAGCCCCAGACGTCCCCAACCTGCACTTGCATAAGTGAGGCCTGTGTCATGTGGGGGTGGCATGGTTCTGTCCCTTCTTGATGTCATCAAGACTTGCCCCCAGGAAAGGCTGCAGCCATCCTCCCTGGCTAAGGAGATTCTATGCATTTTTTATACAGGCTGTATTTCAAAACAAGCTGGAGGGAATAAAACACAGTCTGCCAAAGAAGGGATGTGTGAGTCCTGGTGTCGCATTGCCTTGTGGGACTCAGTAACATCCAAGGAGGAATGTGGCTTGGTCAAGGACCTCGGAGCCAGTGAGGACTGGACACAGGCTCCAAGGACAGGGGCTCAGGGCCCTGGGAGTCCCCTCCTGCACCATGCACACATTGTGTGACCAGCTGATGTCCTCATCAGGTCCAACGCAGCCTGTGTGGGTTCCACCCTCAGTACAGAGACCCTTGAAGCAATGGAAACTGCTGGGATGGACAGAGCACAGGCTGAGGCCTGGCCTCGCATGGCAGAGCTGTGGAATGCGTCCCTCAGGTCCCCCCAGCCCTCTAGGCCTCAGATCCTCCATACAACACCACCACCATCACCGGGTCTTGTCCACAGACAGCGGGCAGCAGGGAGACCCCAACCAAAGGCCCACGGAGTCCCGTGTCCACTGGACATGAGGGTGGTGCTGAGCATGGGACACAGTGGATCCCACCAGGAGGAACTCGGTGCCTTTGCAAAGGATGATGGAATTGGATCTGAAGTGACCAGCCCCGAGGACGGAGTCCTTGGTAACAAGGGCACAACAGCAGCCACTGTCTGATGTTTAAGACTTGTCTTACAGCCAGCAGTGAGCCACAAGCCAGGAAGGCCACGTGTCCACTGAGGCGACATCCCCAGACCTCAGGTCGGCTCTGTGACTGGGGAAGGGAACATAGAGACCGAGGCTCGGTCCCACTCACCTCCCCTGTAGGGACTCCACCCTCATGGAGATCTCACAGGTCATGCGTGTGCCAAGAAAACCCAAAACCAAATCGGCAAACCAGCAGGCGAATTTAGAGCCCAGGTCTCCTTGCCTCAGTGCAGATGTTGCAGATACTTTAAAAAAAAAAAATCAAAGAGACTCAGCAACTGTTGGTGGACAGGGCCTCGGCGACCTCCCCCGGGGTCACACACCACTGGGTGTCTGAATGTCCCTGTCCTTGTCCCTACCGCTGCCTCCTCCAGTGAAGTTTGAGGTTGGGAGGCTGGGATGCCAGGCATCTGGCTTTATTCAAATTTTGCTCCTTCTATGAACCCACATTAGTCCCCAGAACAGGTCATTTTTGTTTTGCTCATGCAGTGAAACGTGCACTGGCACGCACGCACACACAGAGACACACAAACATGCAGACACACGCCGATTTGAACTAAGCTGGCGTCTAGTCCAGTAAGATTTCAAAATACAATAAACAGGTCGAATGTGGAACTAAATTCATTAACCTTGCAAGAAACCTTAAAAATGCAAACATCTAACAGCACATAGCTTAGGGACCCCAGCCCCCTAAATGTGATGCCTGAAATTGGTAATGGTGGCAGGGACCTCACATCCTATGACCGGACCTGCCTTCACAGGCTGTGGCCCTGAGAGGATAAGGTAGAAAATGCCCGGACACTTTCCAGAGTGCCCTAGGGGAATCTCGAGGGGAGGCAGCCCCTGGGCCTGACGCTGACTCCAACCTGCAGGCCCTGTGGTCCGGGATTTTGCTCGAGGTGCCTGACCCTGTGAGAGGACAGCGCTGGGCACCATCACCTGCTGCATGCTGCCCACACAGTGCCTTGGCCGGGACCCCAGGCAGTTGTCATCAGCTGGGTCCATCCGACCTGGGTCTCAACCCACATGCTCTGGCTGACTTACCCGGCAGTGGAGGCCAAGTGACTCTGTGCCCATCCTGCCCGCCTTGCCCACTCTGCCATTTGACCATGGCATTTCCTCTTGGGTGCCAAAGGGCATGGAAAAGTTTACGTGCCAACAGTTGGGGACCTGAGTTCCTCGAAGGAGACCTCTCTTTGTCATCCTACGTTCAACACGAAGGCCAGAGCCAGGAAAATTAACCTCCACACACCTGGACCAGCCCCACCGCAGCCCCCGATCCTGCCTGCTGGCCTCCGGGCCCCCCACATCCCAGAGTCTGATTTAAGTGCAGCCAGGGCACCTCCTCTAGCCCTAGCCTACCGGGCAAAGGCAAACACGACCCCAGGACACCACCTGAGGAAGCCATCACAGGCTTGCTCTCAAACCTGCGGATCAGGATCAATGGGAATGACGCGGGACACAACATGAGCTCTCAAAGCAACTGCAGGAGGGGATAGCGGGGCTCCTGGGCCAAAGAGCTGCACTGCCCTCTTCCTTGATTTCACCACACTTAGTTCTAAAGCCAATCGCCTCCAAGAAGGTCGTGTGCGTGCATGCGTGTGTGCATGCGCACGCGCGCATGCATGTCCATGAACCGAAGCAATGCCGAAGCCAGTAACATCTGCATCCAGGATTCCTGCAGGCGCAGCGGTCAGACCTGCTGGATTTCGGAGCGTGGGGCCTGAGTGGCACTTTCGCACCCCGGTGGACCCGAGCTGTTGGACACGCGTGGGTGGAACATGCGCAGTTCCTCCTGCCTTACATCTGAGCCTCCCTGCTGGATTCGAACCCTACATGGGCAGGGAACAAAGTCCCAGGACTCAGGGGTCCTGGAGCCAGCCCTGCCCAGGGTACCCTCAACACAGCCTCCATGCTATTGTTCACAAAGCTTCAAGCAGAACGCAATCTTTCCGGGTTGCTGTTAGGACTGCGGCACAGCCTTCCTATGAAATGCTAATAAAACCCGGAGGGCTGGAGGTTGACCTTGTCCTGCCAAGCCCAGGCTCCCCATCTTCCCTATCGACCTGGGCACCCCAGCCTTTCCCAACCACCCTCAGGCTCACCCGGGTGACCTGCTTGGGTTCTGGCACGGTGCAGCGCAGACAGCCCCGGGAACCATCCTTTTCTAATGCTGGACGCTAGTGATCTCAGGAGAGCAGCGCTGACATTCAGGTTAGGAAGAGGCTGCACAGGGGTGGGGGGCTGCCACCTCCCTGCTCTCTGCACAAGAGCATGGGGACCCAGGCTGCATCTGGCCACTCGCCTGGGATGCTAGGCTGGACCCCAGGAACGCAAAGGCCAGTGTGGGGCAGTGGGGCCCTGGGATGGGCAGTCCATTCCGCAAACTCCTGCACATGGCTTGTCTCTGGAAGGCCCCTCTGCGAGGGCCAGATTGGGCTCTACAGCATAGAGTTCCAGTTATTGCATCTGTGACAGAAGGGTCGGGACACCCTGTGGCTTCAGAGTCTGAGAAACACACGGGCTGACAACTGGGCTGCTGGGTGTGGGGCGTCCATTTGCAGGGCATGGGCACCCCAGGAGTGGGCCGGCTTGGATCGGCGCGGCCCGTGGAAGCATCTGGAAGCATTCTGGGGCTGTGTTCTACTCTATGGTGGCAGGCACGGGAGGCATGCGAAGAGGGGACACACAGGGCCATTTCCCAAGTGCCCCGGCATTGTCACCAAGCACATGGGGCTAACAGGGAGGAGCTGGGCTTTTCCTCATTTTTGGTACGAGTGACAGGCAGCACCTGTAAGTGGTGCACTATGTACAGAGCATCTTAAAATAAATAATTTTGAGAGACTCCTACCCGGATGGCTCTAACGTTTGTACATGAATACTGTACAAGATTAAAAATAAATAAGGCAATATAATACAAGTTTATCACAAACAAAAAGGAAGTTAAGTGGTTTTTTACCAAACCCCAAGGAACGTATGGCTGAACGCGGCTCCTGACCTCGGAGGAGGGAGGTGGGGTTTGGAGCTGCTGCTGATGGAGAGGGAGATGTCTGCCCCTGGCCAGGCCTCCAGGTGGCCCCACAGAACAGTCTGGTGCAGCGCATGTTGGGGGCACACAACCATGAAGTGCTGTGCACCCTGGGCCCTGGTCCTGTGTGGTGGCCAACTTGGCTCTGTGTGTCAATCCAGGTGTCACTTGGCTGGACTCCTACCAGGTGGCACTGGGTCACTCTGCCATTGTCCGTTCAGGTTGTGCCAAATTCTACTCCCTGGGGTTGTGGAAGCAACACCCTTGCTCCTCACTGGCAAGGGCAGGGGGCAACCGTGAGTCGTTCTGTGACACCTCGATTTCAAGCAGGGCTCAGCCCTAGCCATGCTTTGAATCTCTCCTGTTCCCTTCTCCACTTCTGAGGGCCGTGGGCCACATGTCATGGTGTGCTGGACAGTCCAGGGCTCCCACTGGCCCCTCAGGCTCCTACCCCAACCCTTGCAAAGCCCCTTGATGCTCTGATGGGACACACACAGGCTGTGGCCATTCCTCTGTCCCTACCCGCACAGCCCTGCAGTCACATGGGGGAGCAGAGTGGTACCAGGCTGTGCTGGGCACTCTGCCCTTCCCATCAGCCTACGGGCCATCACCCTGCCATACCCCTGCTTGCCCTGTGCCCCTGTCCCAGCTGACTGCTTCACATCTGGTAGGACAGACAGACATGATAAAAGCCCATGGGAAGAGCCAGGCATCCCAAAGACAAGACAGATGGAAACAGAGACAAGGCAGAGGCCAGAGGAGGGTGGTGATGCCCCAGGCAGGTCATCAGGCCAGGGCTCGGTCAGACTGATGACCAGACAAGGCCATTGGACCTCAGGATCCCTGGCAGCAGCCTGAAGCATCCTGCTAGACTCAGATGGACTCCCCAAAGTCAGAGAAGAGCCTGAGAGCAGCTCCAGCACAAGGAGAGGCCAAAGCCACAGACTCACCCACCTCCGTCCCAGCCCCATGGGGCCAGGTCAGTCTGCCCCAAGTGTTGCCCTGGTGGCCCCTGCTGGCCACACAACTAACCCAGGGCTAGTCCAGGTGACACCACCACCACCTGGACAGGGACTCGTCCAGGGACCGAAGTGGGAGCTCTGGGGAGCAGCGAGAGGGGCCCCTACCACTAGGAGAGGACAGGGCTCAGCCCACCTGCCCCCCACAGTCTCTGCCAGCCACCTTTCCTCCAGAAGTCCCCTGGCCAAGGTCCCTGCATGGACCAGCCCTGTTCTATTTCTACCACCTCCCTTCTTAGGAGCAAGGACAGAGGTCCCCAGCATGGGGACAACTCTGGCCAGATACCTCCTGCCACCCTGCCAGTCCTGTCACCCACTTCCTCTGTCTTCGTCTCCACTGAGGTCACCAGGGAGCACAGCTGTGAGGTCCCAGGTGTCCACCAGGCCCCTGCAGCCTCTCTCTGCAACTGTAGCAGGGCCACACACTTCACAAGCGATGACGTCCCCAGTAAGCAATGTCTTCCCTCAGGGAACATGACTCATGGGAACTTGGATTCCGTTCAACACCCAGGATCCTACAAACCTCGGAGAAAAGCAGGATAGGCGCCGGTTCTCATGTCAAGACAGTGACATGCAGGTGGCACCCACGTGTCACGGGAGCCAGGCTCAGCGGCAGAGCAGGGGACACACAGACAGGATGAGTGGCTGGTGCTGGCCAACGACAGAGGGGCTGCGCCTGGAGGACCCAGAAGACCTGCCTCTGGCTCGTAGCACAGACCTGCTCCCCGGGCCATGTGAGGCAGCTTTGAACCTCTCACCTGGCGCCAGCCTGGTGCCAGCCTAGGGCTCTCCTGTGGCGGCTCTTCGGTCCCATGGCCAGCCAGACCTCCACAGCAGACATCCCGAAAGTCCCAGTGCCGATGCCAGCTAGACCTGGGCAGGTCAGGGTAGCGCAGGCACAGCTCCTGTTGGCCATGTGGGCAGTGCTCCTTCTGCAGCCGGCCATGGGCTCCCCGCTCTGCTCATTTGGCTGGGCCTGGCCAGGGCCACGGTGGCCCATGTCATCCTGCACGCTCCTCCAGTGGCCCACATGGGTCCACTAAGCCTCCCTCCCTGCTGCCGTGGCCGGCGGGTATGGGCCAGGGGATGCTGGGGGGAGCCCGGCCCTAACTGGGGGGCCAGGGGCAGGGCCCAGCGGCGGCCGTCTGGCCTGGCCTCCAGCTCCCCCATAAGAATACACCCTCCGCTCCAGGTGCATGGGCCGGCCATGGCCGCCGTTCCCATCAGTCCTGCCCTCCAGAAAGTAGGTCAGCATCTCCCCCTTGCCCTTGACACTGACTTTGCCTCGGCACACGAAGTGGTAGGGGCACTTCCGCAGCAGCCTGTGCACCTCCTCCGTCACCTGTTGGCCGAGAGAAGCCAGCGTCACCCTTGGAATAAACAGTAGGGGGCCTTGGGGCAGGATCAGGGCACGCTGGCAGGGGGAGGTGGAGGGGGCTGAGCCCAAGGGAATCCTACTGCAGATTCTCTGGGCCCATGGAACCCGGCCAGGACCACTCGGCTGGGGATACCCAGACAGGGAGCAGGGAGGACCGGGCTGGCCCCGGGCCTCCAACCCCACTGGCAGGGCAGCCTTGGTGCCAGGATTGGGTACCACTACCTCTGAGGAGCTGGGGCAGGGGTCACTAGCACACAGAGGGTGGTGGTGAATTGCCAAAGACAACGGGACCATCCTTTCTTAACTCCTCCCTCTGCCACCTCCCCAGCAAGTGTTTCAGTTCAAAGAATCCCCAAGCTGCAAAAGACAGCCGAGCACGTGCCAGGCTCTCTACTCCATCCTGGAGCTTCTCTGTCCTAAGATGGCACTCGGTGAACACTCTAGGGGGACAGCTGAGTCCCCAGCCTGGTGGCCTCTGCAGCAGAATGAGGCCCTGGCACTGGTTGTTGGGGCTTGGCATCTTGCTTGGACACTAGGCAAAGGCTCGCACCTCTCAGGGCCTGTGTGACCCCCAAGACTTTACAGCAAGTTTTACTGCAAGTTCCAGTGCCCAGCAGGACACAGTACGGTGACAGTGGCCACTGCGGGTGGGGTCAGCCACCCCTGCTTGGCAGTGTCTGTGCCAGCGCCCCACCCCAAAGTCCCCAGACACCAGCGTGGTCATACACAGGGGACAGAGCTCTCCCTTCAAGGCTCTGCAGACCTGCAGCTCCCAGGTGGGTAACTGGAGGCTCCATGCGGCCACCTGAAGCACATCTCGCTGTTCAAAGGGAAACTCGGAGAGCTGAGCCAGCCCCACCCTACAGAAACCCCAAGGCCACTACTAATGGGCCTCAGAAGGTGTCACAGCCACCGGATCCTGCCCCACCCCAGCACCCACCTTTCACACACACAGGCAATCCCTTCGTATGTCATCGGGGATAGGAAGGAGATGGAGCAGCCAGGTAGATCACTGGGCTTCAGGGCCCAACCCTGGGACCCCAAAGGTCACCCTGCTCGGCACCCCAGGGCTGCAGCACACTCAAATCAAACAGCAAAATCCAACAGCAGGGGCACAAATGGTACCGTCTGGAGGCTGTCACCCCGACACACAGCACACGCTCAATGCGGCCCACTGGCTGCAGACCTGGGGATAACACCGGCCTCCAGGACCCCATTTCCACACCTGCAGAATGGGAGATGGGTCTTGGGGTTCCTGGGTGAACTGACCTGGATTCTGCCCTGAACCCCGGTGCTGTCCATACGACTGGCCACGTTGACTGTGTTTCCCCAGATGTCGTACTGGGGTCTGCGCGCACCGATTACCCCAGCTACCACCGGGCCGACATTGATGCCTAGAAAAGTAACATCAGGGTCTGCAGTCAGCTGGGGGGCATAGGTGGTGGGAAGCAAGCAATGCTCCCTCAGAGCTCGTTCTCCAGGTCACCGCATCGCCTGGGGCAGGGCTCTGTCCCCACCTCCTGTCCCCCACAGTTCCCTGAACACTGCCACATGCAGGCTGGCAGAGCGACTCCTAATTCCGAGGATCCACCCAGGCCCTGAGTGCCAGCTCGTGTGTGGCCAGAGTCCGGCTCCTCTGCGGCCACAGGACGCTGTGGCTCTGTCACAACAGTGTGTCCCTGAGTGTATCCCCAGAAGTCCTTATAGCAGTTCCTGGGCTTTCTTAGGGTGCAGCCCTGCTTCTGCTTCGAAGTGCATGGCCCAAAGAGAGCTCAATGTTCAGGTGATCCAGGGAGAGGGAACAAGGCCTCCTTCTCCCACAGCTCGGTCACCGGGCCATGTCACTGGGCCCAGGTACACAAGTCTGCATCACCCTTAGGAGATTTCTGTCACACCGGCCTGGCTTCCAAGGCTGAGCAAACGCTCACAACTATGTTCCCTTTCCATGCGTGTGGACTGTTTTGTGCTGGGCCAGGTAACCTCCCCTGGAATCCTGTGGCAGCCCAGCAAGAAGCATGGGAAGCCAGCAGGCATCTGCAAAAGCCCAGGGACCCTTGTGCACCCCCTAGCTTGCCTAGCCTTGGAGAAACAGCATGGAGCAGAATGTCCCTAGGCCACCAGTCATATCAGGACATCTTGGACAGGGCCTGCATGTGGGGGAAGAGAACAAGGTCTGTCGTGAAGACCTGGAGGTATCTGAGTCACAAGATGAGCACAGGCCTCTGGCTCAGCAGAATCTCGTTCTAGAAGAAAGGGTGCTGGAGGTGTGGCTGGGCCCACAAATACCCAGTTCCACTGGACTCTTGCCTAGCAGGACTTTCCCCGATGAACTGTCTACATCTCAGAGACAGGTACACTGTGTCTCAGGAGCTTGGACCTAATCTTTGGTCCTAAAGCCCGCTCTGAACTGTGCCCTCTTCCACCAGCTGCTTTTTGAGACAATGCTGTCCCTGCATGGGGTAAGAGGCATTTTCTGCCTGTGACGGGACAGCCCCAGAGCCACTTACCAACTCGGAGGACAAAGTCGTTGTAGGACTGGTAGTTGATTTCGTCCAGGACGTCAAACATCTCAATAGCAAAGTCGGCCAGCGTGCAAAGGTGGGAAGAGATGGATTTCTTAGCCTAGGCACGAGCAGATAGGAGTGTTACTTTGGGGCGTAGCAGGGCAGGAAGAGAGCAGGCACCCACTTGTGCTGGCCTTGGGACTGGGATTTGATTCTCACATCAGCCCCAGGGTCTCCTGGTACCTGGCTAGGTGCACATTTACTATCCCTTTGTACAGGAAGAAGGCCGAGACTGTGCCCAGGTAGGGGTGTGGCAGCCCCTGGGAGTGTGAGAGAAGAATCTAGATTCCTACTCGGATGACACTGTCACCTCCCATTGCAGGACAAGGACGGGGATATCGTCAGAGCCTGAGACCCTGTGTTCATGCGACAAGGCCCTTATTTTGTGAGACAGTAACAACTAGAAGGTTTCTAATTTTTTTAAAGGAACTTTTATTAGTCCTATGTTTTATTATGTGAGTAGGGTGTAAATGATTTTTCTGCATCAGTTGAAAGGGTCCTGTGGCTTTTCTTCTTCTGGTGATCAGACAAATCCCTTCCACTCATTTTGGACAGCAGAGCCTGCTCTGCGTGTCTGGAAACTTCCCACTCGGTCATGAGTTACAGTTCTTATTCGTTACTGAACTCAGTGTGCAGAGGAGTTACGCACGCCTGTTCTTGAGAAAAAGACCGATCTGCGATTTTCTTTTCTTACATCTTTGTCTGGTTTTAAGTACTGGGTGACCTCCCAGGATGTTAGGAAACACTCATTTGGTTTCTAACCTCCAGAAAGAGAGTACAGATAACCGGTATCGCTTCTTCCTCCAACCTTTGGTAGAATCCCGCAGGGAACGCACCTGGGCCTGCTGTTTTCTGATTTGGAAGATTATTAATGATTGGTTTCATTAATCACCCTTAATCTACTCAGATCTCTCACTTTCATTTTCACAATTCTGCTCTGGGAAAAGAGACAACTCAATGTGGGGGAGCTGGAAGGGGAGACAGCAGGGCTGGGGGCCACCTGGGCAGGGATGGACATGGGCCCAGCATGTGGCCCCAGATGCTACTCACCCTGGTCCCCGAGGTGGGTGCCAGTCCCACTGCAGCCATGTAGGTGCTCCCGATGGTCTTGATCTTCTCTAAGTCCTTGTAAAAGTCCTTGTCCATGAGCTTTGTATAAAACAGGAAACCGTTACATACCACGCAACATTCCAGAGACATCCCTGCAGCCCTCAGCCACCAGGAACAACAATAGAGCTGACCAATGCGGGCTGGACAGCACTCTGGCCTCTTTGTCCTGGTACCAGACAAGATGTGGGGCTGAGTGTGAAAGTAACCCAAAGCACGGACTGCCCAGGACTTGCTGCTGTGCTCACAGCCACGAGGGAGATGGGGTCTCCAGTAATAGGGACAGAGGGACAGACAGTGCCCAGCCGAGGCAGCACCATCTGTCCCTGTGGAGAGGGAGCCACGCTGTCCTGGCCACCATAGATGTGAAGCCCCAGGGTAGGACCCAGTCCCCAGCCTAGCACCAAGCCCCTCTTGTTTAGCTGTCGTGGTGGATCTAGACCCCAAAGGAGACACAGTGCATGCATTTCTAGGGCCCTGCTCAGCCCCTGTCCTGTATGAGAAGAGGACATGACAGAGGATGTGGTGGACATCCGCAGGATCTGACCAGACGAAGGCATAGCCCAGTGGACAGTGCAGGGGCCTTACCTCATCAAAGTCTGCGATGATCTCGTTGAGCAGCCGCAGACACTCCACCCCCATGTTGTTGCCATCCAGCTCGATGTAGAAGTCGTTGAAGTTGGGGATGGATGCGAACATGACTCCCACCTGGGAGTAGGACTGGTAATACAGATCCTGCAAGGACACGGCGGTCAGCGGGCTCCGAGATCCAGCCCAGCCCACACATGGGGAGGCCCAGGGTCTCTAGGACACGCAGCTCTGTCCTTCTGGGAGTGGGGGGCACAGGAGAGGGACCTCAGGGAAGCCACCCGCTCTGAAGGCTGCGTGAGACTGAGCACCAGCAGCCGAGAGGACGATAAAAACAAGGTGCTTATGCAGGTATTTTAAAGACACATTGCCCTGAATCCGCTCAAATCGCTTCTCCTCACTTTGGACACCTCATCCCCTGGTCCCTGCTGCTTTCCGAAGCAGTTCTGGAGTTCTCTATCCCGAGTGTCTCTACATGGTGAGATTAGAAATACGGGGACCACTGCTGCCCAGCACCACCCAACAGAAAGGCAGCTCCTAAAAACACGACGTTCTGTCCCATCCACCTCAGTCACCAGCCCTGGCACCCTGCGACTCCTGGATCCTTTCCCAAGTCAGGGAAACATTTTGAATGGATTCAGGATATCACAGCAGCCAGGACAGCACCAGCAGAGATCCTCAGGAATGATGGGAGTTCGAAGCGGGGATTTTGAGGGAGATCTAGGGCAATGTGTCTTTTACCCTAACAATATTTTTTTAAAATGTAAAGATTCCCGGTATATTTTCATTACACCCCATACCCCAGGTCAAAGCTGAACCCTAAGGTTTCTTTCCTGCTCACAGGACTTTCGAGGCACCCCAATCTCTCTGGTTTGACCTCGGTCATCATGACCATCTGCTGTGTCCCACACCCCTGGCTGCAGCCTGACACTGCCTTCACCTGGATTTCCACCAGGAGCACCGGTCACCCACACATTCCAGACACCGAGAACTGGGGAATACTCCCCAACTGCGTCAAGCAGATGTGAAGAAGCGCATGACCCCACCACCTGCGTGCTCTGCTTTTCAAGGCAGGAGCTGGGTGGTCATCATAGGCTACCAGGGGAAGACCACATACACGGTTCCGGCCTTGAGAATGCTTTTCCCCTCCGCCTGCGAGCCTTGCACATCTCCTTCACCATCACAAAGAACAGGGAATCAGAGCCAACCTGACAGCTCAGGTCGGGCAGGCAGGAGCTCTCTCTAAGCCTGCTCAGGCCACAGGGGCTCCAGTTGCAGGTGGAGCAGAGAGAGGGTGCTCTGAGCTGGACCCCAGCACCCCACATTCTGGCATCCGGCAGACCCCAGAAGGGCCGGCGGCACAGGTCCAAGTGCTCACCATGTTCCGGGGGTTGGACATGAGGAAGTGCTGTGCCACGTGGGCCGGCAAGAGGTTGAAGAGGATCCTCTTGTTGTCCAGCTTCACCCTCTCCATGTCATCCCGCTCCTCTTCTGCCTGGGGGTGGGTCGTGAGTCCAAGTCATCTACACAGCCCTTGCCAGCCCCGTAGCATCAGTCTGATCACCCCCACTGCACGCCACACCCTGAGAGTGCTGTCAGGGGGTTCCCTGCTCCCCAGAATACAGAGGCTTCATGGACGTCTGCCAATGTGGTCACTCCACCCCAGAGCATGGACAACAGCCTGCCCCCCTCACTTCCAGGGTCTGCCCTGCCCTGCTGCCCCAGCCCACCCTGCAGGCCCCAGGCCTGCCTTGGTCAGCATGCATAGCACCAGGCAGCGGGCACCTCCTAGGGCCCTGGAGTGTCAGCTGGAGCCTCACTGGGCCCCCATGAGAGCACACATCACTCCAGCATGGAGACCAGGTGGTCTGGGGTCCCAGGTGGGGTCCAGAACGTGGGAGCCAGAGGCAAAGGTCCGATGGCCCGGTGGGGGACAGCAGGAGCATCCCGGGCCCAGCAGCTGGTGGAGTGACAGGCACTGACCCGCTCCCCAGCACCAAAGGCCGGGAGAGGCCCTCATTCCTCAGAGACAAGGCCATGTCTGCAGTGGCCGGCACCGAACCCCTAGGCTAGCGCCTTCCACAGAACTCACGAGAGGACGCAGCGGGGAAACGGCTACCTGTAGTCCCTTTTACAGGCACCAGATTCCCGTGTGCAGGGGACAACATGCAGCAATGTCCTCCTGGGGGCTCAGGGGAGGCCCCAAAGGCCAAGGGCCTTTGCTCCTTCAGGGAGCCAGGCCCGTGAACAGTGGCTGCTTCTCTCTGTGCTGCTACCATAGTGTTGTACAGACTGAGTCAAAACCATGTGGTTTTTTAAGGTCTAAAAAGTGATGTCTGCTCTTGGTGAGGGTTGTAGGACTGGGCTGGCCAGTTTCAGCCTGGGATGAGGACACTGCAATTAAAAGGGTGTAGGCTGGGTGAACCAGACTATGAGTTCTGGGAAAACCAGGCCAGCGCATTGACAGGACCCCTGAATACAGCACAGCGAGGATCACGGCACACAGGGACCAAAAGGAGACACCTCAGTTCCTAACCTCCAGGTCCGACAGAGCTGGTCACTGGCTGCCCCATCGGGCAGGACTCGGCCACTCAACCCCACGAGGGACTCAGGGGCCACAGTTTGTGCTGGGAAGAAGAGCAAGAGACAGGCACAGAGGACAGCACTGCTCGGGGAGAGCAGCAAGGCTCCCAGGACAGTGGGGGCCTGGTTTTGGTCTCACTCAGAGCTCAACAAGCTCTGGTCTCCACCCTCCAGCCACCTTTCCACCCCGAGGCCTTCCGATCGATCCAACAGTCCCTACGTGTGTCCTTCCGTGTGACACACACCACCAGTTATACATTAACACATTACCTCCGACAGACATCAAAGAAAGATGTTAAATGGCGGGGGTGGAGATAAAGAGGAAGGCAATAATATGTCTCTATTTTAAAAATAACAGTTCTCACTCCTGGGAGGCCAAGACAAAAGGATCACTATGAGTTTGAGGCCAGCCTGATCTACCTAGTGAGTTCAAGACCAGCCTGAATAACATAGCAAGACCCTGTCTCAAACCAACACCAAAAATAAATAAGAATGAAAAACAGAACAGCTCTCGTCTATTTATTGGTGGCACAAAAATTTTACCCTTATGCAAAATGCCATGTTGATGTTAATACTATTTTAGTGAAAACAGCGTAAACCGAAGAAGTTGCGAGTGAAAACAAAATCTTGGTTGATCAAACTGTGGCTGAAAAGATTTGATTTGTCAGTTGGGATCCAGGGACTGTCAGTGTCACCGTCTTTTCTGAGCTGTTGTGTAGGCTCTTCATTCATTCAGAGTCACAGATGCAGAGATTTTTGTAGCAGTTTGACTGATAAACACCCAAGCGCCCCCCACCGGTTATTCTCAGGAATGAAGCAGGAGACCCTGAGTTGTCTTGTTATCTTATTTTTAAAAAATAAGATCAAACTCTACTGAAATCCTCTATTTACAGCCAGCAAGGGAAGTCCCAGCATTTTTAAGGAGAGCAAAGCCAAGAGAGACACAAGCTCTCCCGTCAACAGACGCATAACAGATCACAACTTGTGTTTTCAAATGTTTGTTCTCTCAGCGGCAGACTCTTGCAAAAGCTTTCCGATCTCGCTCATGCTTACATTTTACAAATTATCAACCCAGGCGCACTGATCCACCCCGAGGTGACATTCCAGAGAGGTCACAGCCCCGTGTGCTGGTCATTTCACAAAAAGAACAAAACAAAACGACAGCAAACAGCCCCGTGGGACAACTCCCTGGGACGCTGGCACCCACTGTGGCTCTCGCTGTCTCCCTGACAAAGCACCCTCAGCCTAAAGAACAGGACAGGCAACCCCAGCCCAGCCCGGAGTGTCAGCACCGGATCCCAACAAGGGCACAGCCTGGCTCCGTGGCCCCGGCTGGGAGTTGGGTGGGCCCTGCCAGTTGGTTCTTCAACCCTGGGGCACCCGTGGATCATCTAGTGTCGTTCTTTGGGGCTCCCCAGCTCTGACAGCCACCACTTTTGCAGAGAGTTGAGGGAGGGAAAGGAATTTCCCAAGCATATGGAGGGCTAAGTCATGCATTCCCAACCCCAGGGGTAGAGGAACAGGGTTCCAACTTTGGGTCGATGGCCTCCTGACACTTTCTCTCCATAACTGCTTTTCAAGACAGCACTTGGTCACCCAGATCAGAAATGACACAGCCCTCTGCCGGGCTCCCTGTCCCTCGGTAGATGCAGCTTAAGATGACAATGGCCCAGACCAGGGAGGCCAGTGGGGGTGCATGTGTTCAGAGAAACTCCTACCCCTGATGTTAAGGAGCGTTGGAACACAAGAGGATCTCCTAGAACAGATCCAGTGCTTTGCCCTGCTCTCTGAAGGCTCACAGAAAAAAAGAGAAATAAATCAGCACAATTCATAACAACTGAATCTTGGAAGCAACCTATGTCCATCGGCAGGCGAGTGAATAAACATGTATTTACGCACCGTGGAGTAATACTCTGCCATGAAGAAGAGTAACCCTGATCATTTGCACGCTGAGGCACCCCATCATGTGAAATAAATCAGATGCATGAGCTTAAATACCACATGGCTTGTCTTTTAGGAGACAGCCAAAGTATAAATAAGGAGCAAAGAGAAAGATAGATAACAGGAAGCAGGGAGGAATCTTTCTCAAAGGGGAAGGGGATGGAGAGATGGGGGAAGAAGGAAACAGGGGATGAGAAGGAATTAAGATGTGTTACGTCATGGACAGATGCCACCCAGGAATGTAAACACCACGCACTACAAACACGTACAAGTCAAAAAAATATAAGTAATGTTTTAAAAGTCACAAAATTATGATACTCATAAAAAGTAATGTTTTTCAAAATCAATATTGACTTAGATGTTATTGATAGCTAGGCAAAGATGATGAAACAGTTTCCAGGAACATGTTCCACACACTCAAGAAAAGAAACCATGTTTACTACAAAGAAGGTATGAAAAAGACTCACCTCGAACTTCTGGAAAACTGTAACTTCTGAGATGAAAAATGGAAGTAACAGTGATTAGACACCGTGGTAGAAAACCTGACAGCTGTAAAAGCTGTCCACAATGAAATGCGGAGGAAAAAAGAACAAAAGAAATGAACAGAGCATTAGTAAGTATAGCGCAACTTCAAGGGGCTCATGATGTGTGCTGAGAATTCCTGGAGAAGGGAAACAGAAAGGGAGAGGTGGAAGAATAATATTGGAAGGAATAATAATGCCAAGATTGTCCCATGTTTATGGAATTATAAACCCACAGGTCTATGAAGCTCAACAAAATCCAAGCATACAAACAAAGCATGAAAGAAACTACATATACATAATAAACAGGCTTTCCACATATGGACTTGGGTACACTGATGTTCAATCCATTGTAGACATATTCTGCTGGAAGGTCCTTACACTAAGTGTGAGGTCGGGGCAGTCACTGGACGCTGACCATGTTACACACCTATACCACAGTAAAGAGATACAGCTAATAAGCAAAGTAAAAATAACAAACAGAATAAACAGAATACAACAAATAATTAACCCAACACAGTCAGAAAAAGATCAATAAGGAATCAAAGTACAATGGGTTGATAAGAAACAGCAGGACAGTAGCCTAAAATCCAATCACATCAATAATCACCTTGCAGATAGCCTGAAGAGCTAAAAGGGAGAGGCTGATACACTGAATTAAAATAGCAAGATGCAGTGATATGCTGTTTAGAAGAAATCCACTTTAAATAAAAAGACACAGATCAGTTAAAGAGGAAATGTTGATGAAACCAGAAAGCTGTATCACTTGTATTAATGACAGATTATCAAATTACACAAAGCAAAAACTGAGCAAAATGCAAGGAGTTCCACCTGCAATTACAGCTGGAAATCCCAACACCCTCTCAGAAATGCAGGGAGAAACCACACAGAAAATCAAGATGGGCATCATCAACCTGTTGACTTAACCGCCATTTCTTAAACACACCACCCAGCGGTGACAGGATACAGTCTGGCCAAGGGCTCACAGCGTATGGACACACAAGCCTCAAGAACATGAAAAGGATTCAAATCGTGCTGTGTACATTCTTGGGCCACAACATAATTCAGTTAGAATTCAACACCTGAGAGGTCTCTGGGAAAATCCTCAACTAAAGAACATACTTCTTAACTTTTGGTTCAAAGAAATCAAAAGGAAAATCAGAAAGTGCTTTTAACCAAAGGAAAATGAAATGGCATCTCAAACTAATATTTGTGGAACTCCATTAACACAAAACTTAAAAGCAAATTCATAACACGTAGCTTCCCTTTTAGAAAGGAAGACACAACTTCCTCAGATCACCTAGGAAATAACATAAATCAAGTCCGAAGTAACCCAAAGAAACTAGACAAACCCGATCGATTTCTATCTATATTAAAGGGACCAGCGGGAATATTGTAATCAATTTTATGTCAAGAAAATAGGCCACTTTCAAGGAAGGATTTAAAACTTCATAACTACGTCCACAAAGGAATAGAAAACCTGAATAGCCTTATATCTTTAGAGAAATTTTTAATTTTAGTGTAAAGTTTCCTGACCAACCAACCAAAAAACAAGACCTCCAGGTCCAAAGGACTTCATGTTACCTAACAGCTGGAGAGGAGATGCTACCCCACTCTACCGAGTCCGCCACAAAACTGCTAAGGATGAAAGATTCCACATTCATTTTACAGGACTAGCATTACTGTGATTCCCACACCAGATGAAGTTATCGCTAGAGTGAGAGCCAGTTTGTCCTCAGGGTTAATGCCTTGAAGGTCAAGAGTCCTAGAAAAGGCTTTGTCTGTGTCTGTGCTGGGACTCTGTCTGGGGGCAACCTCCCTTCTCAGTGATGCTACACACAATGAGAATTAACCTCACATCAGGAACTTGCAGGCAAACAAAGAGTTAACTGCTGGATACTCATGAGTATAAACGCTGACATTATAATCACCATGGTGATTATCTACCAAGATCAAAAGAAAATAACAATCCCAGGACAAACACACCCCAATGGTTAAGATGAAGAGGTGGAGGGCGTCATCACCAGGCATGTCATCTATTTATGCAAGTTGGTGTGGCCAAACTGGCCTCCAAAAATAATTAACTCACCCAGCATTTGGCCTGAAAGTTGAGCAACGCTACAGGGCACCCTGATGTCTGCGTAACCTGCCTAAATGTCCAAGAGGTGAACACACAGTCTAGAAAGTTCTGTCTTTGCCTGAGTTACAGGAAAGTGAGGTGACATTGCTTGTTATATGTCAGTGTGTCAGTGTGCTTCCGTTAGCTGCCCTTCCTTCCGACCCCCAGCTGCCAGCGGGTGGCATCCACACCCTGAGTTTGGTGTGGGTGACAGTGTGTGTGATCACCTAGAACATCACAAGGCAAGGTCAAAGCTTGGCTTCAGTAACATTTAAATATTTAATACCAAGTATGACAGCTCAACAACAAAAACCAAGAAAAGGCCAGGCCAACTCATAGGAGAAAAAATACCACCCCCCCCGACCACACCCCACAAGTGGAGGCCACAGCCAGGACCTCAACCACTTGCTTAGAGCTCAGGGCCAAATGGTCCTGACCCCCATCCTGCGATCCCCCCTCAGGCATCCTGTCTCCAGGGGAACTCACACCCAAAGGATCTTACACCAGAGGGGCCAGCGGATGGCAGGGGTGGCCGATGTCAGGTGCCACCTGGCCGGATCACACCCCACAGCCTGCAGAGTGGGGCAGAGGCTGCGGCTGGTGGCACAGCCTACTCGAAAGCCCCAGAGCGGCCACCAGTTACCTGGCATGGCTCCGGCCACTGCAGCTGGCCAAGGCTCCTTTCCAGGAACCCGTGTATATCGTGGCGGCACCTGCAGCCAGCTATTCCCCGTAACATGATGGAGGAGCTCGGCAGACCTGACAGTGAAGACCACGGGCTCCCTGGCACCTGCTTCCTCTCGGAGCTGCCACCCAACAGAATTCATAACCCGCAACAAAGGGACACTCACGGTGGCTGAGCCGAAAGAGACTCAGCGTGCCTTCCTCTCTCACTCCGCGCATGCAGCCAGGACGCCAAGAAGGGAATTGCAGTGGTTCCAGGCAACCTGGGTGAGGTTCTGGCCCCATTTCACTACCGGAGGGAGGAGAGGCGGCCAATCACTGGCCCTCAAGAAGTGGCTGGGACTGGGCACGAGGACACCTGTGTCCCCCAGGTCTAGCCCTTGCTGCTCCTGCTGCCATTCGGCCTCAGCAATGAGAACAAAATGCCACAGCCCCACGCTCAGTTCAGCAGCCAGGACACGCCTGGCACTCTCAGCTCGTGTCCACCATGGTCCTCTGCTGCGTCTGTCCATGCTCCCGTCTACCACCCTCTGGCTGTGCCCATTCCGGGTCACAGTCCTGGCAGCAGATTGGAGGCTCCAGGCTGTGGATCCTCCCGCTCCACCGGCCTCAGACTCTGCTCACACTAGGGCATCACAGCCTGCTTAGAGTCACATGGGCAGCCCCCGGATCCTGGCATGGCTTCCTGTGGCCCCATCTTCCCACCTATAACTCCACCGCCTGCCGCCACCAGGGAATGCCACAGCTTCAAGAAGACTGTCTCCGAGCCATTCCTGTCAACCCAGTACTCTGGGAGGCTGAGGCAGGAGGATCACCAGGTCAAGCCCAGCCTGGGTAACTTAGGAACTTAGAGAAATACTGTCTTGCAAAGAAATACTGTCTTGCAAAGACTGGGGCTGGGGATTTAGCTCAGCGGCATAAGCGCCTGCCTTGCAAGCAGGCAGTCGTGAGTTCAATCCCTGATACTGATGAAAAGGAAAAAGACAAAAAAAAAAACAAAACAAAACAAAAAGAAACAAAAAGAAAAGCAGATTATATTGCTAAAGCTAAGGTTCCTCAGCCTTCGGGTGGGGAAAGGTGGGTGGGGCTATCTGTGAGACAGCTCTGTCAAAAGGGTCCTCCGGGGCCCTACGTCTCACAGCCCTGCAGGGCATGGGCACCAGGTGGCCCTATGCTCTTTGCATGTGGCTGTTCCCCAAGGCTCAGGTAAACACCAGCAGCTGGCACCTGTCCCATAGCCAAGCAGAGCGCCACCTACTGGTCAGAAGAAAGCATGAGTCCTGCCCAGACCCAGAGGGTCAGGATAGAGGCAGCATTGCTTGTCCCAGTGTCTCCCAAGGGTCCCTGTGGCCCTCCCGCCAGAATCCCCAGGGAACTGCTGAAAATACAGATTCCCAGTCCTGCCTGCACACGGCCCATCCATCTGTAGGGGTTAGAGCAAGACCTGGATTTCCTTACTTCCCAGGGACCCTGACAGGCCCTGAGGCCACACTCCAGCCCTCAGGGATTTTGGCCCTTCTGAACATCACAGCCACACCTTGCCTGGGCCTGGCAGCTCGCTGCCACACAAAGAAGCCACACTGACACCAGCTGCCCATACACCTATCACACAGCATCTTCCTCCTCCTCCCCTGAGTACAGTCCTGCTGCCCAGCCCCAGCACGGCTCTGTCTGGCCCTGAGCTGCAGAGTCTAGCAAGCTGCTGGACAGGGACCTCTGAGGGCCACATGGCAGGAGCATCACAGCCACCTGCCACCCGCCAGCTCCCCGCCCCCAATCCCATCCCAGAGGCATAGCGCCCCCTTCTTGCCTGTGCTGCCCAGAGGTAGTCCAGCCGCAGCCTGACGTCCACCTGCCTGGCATGCAGGGCCAGTGTGCAGGAGAAGAGCAGGATGGCCATGATGGGCTCATAGCTGCGCCCAGAGATGGCTCCACCCCTGGGGAAACAAAGGAAGAAGACCTCGTTGGTGTGGGGACATCGCACACTGGAGGTGGGCAGACAGCAGCCACAGGCCCAAGGTTGCAAGTCTGAAAGCTCAGATGTGGCTGAGGAGGGCAAAGCCCTTGCACGGGCACAGTCCCCGTCCCTCTGCACAGCAGCAGCTCCGCTACGGAGCCATACACAGGATTCACTGGTGATGCTATCTGGATCCGAACCTCAGGGGCCCCACTCACCCGGCCTTGGTGTAGCCGCCGAGCTCCAAGACGAGGATGTAGGACGTGGTGAGCCCGGACAGCAGGATCATCTTTGGCAAGGAGGACACCCGCAGGAATATGGCTAGCGGGAGGGTGCCCACCAGGCAGCAGAGCAGGGCGTGGTGGGCAGACTCGCAGGGCAGGGCAGGCAGCACGGTGCGCCGGCCACCAGATGCCAGGACCACCAGGGAGCTGTTGGACCTTGAGCTCCAAGACCAGGGCAGGCAGCCCACCTGGGGAATAAGGGGCACAGAATCAGGAAAAGCCAGGCGGGCTGGTGACCCCGCACAGAACAGAGTCCCAGCCTCCCAATCTCACTGTAACTACCCCACCAGGCCTGGTCAAGCCCCAAGGATCCTGCTGCCCACAGCCTGCATGGCTCCAGCTGGTTGCAGAAGCAATGAGAACACAGCTGGGCCAGCTGGCAGCAGATCCCACTCCCTCCCCACACCTGAGCGCCCGCTGCTACCCCTGCGCCCACCCCAGCCCCATCCTGCCCGCCACCCCTGCCCCCGCTCCGCAGGGCTCACCACACATCCTTGGGCCACAGAATAGATTAAGACCACTATGAAGACGCACAAGACAGTGCGGATCCGAATCGTCAGGCACCCTGGAAAACACTGGGCAGAAGGCAACGGCTTGGTGTCAGATTCTCTGATCACAAAGCAGAGCCACACACATGGCAAAGAGATGACAAAAGCAAACCACCGGGGCGCCCCTCCGCCCGTCCCCTTCAGTTTCCTGTGTGTCCCAGGTGAGGAACTCTGCACGGTTAAAAAAAAAAAAAAAAAAAAAAAAACCCACTGAGGTCCTTGAATGAAAAAGAGCAGCAGTCCCTCTGCGGCTACCGCCACTATCCACCGAGGAGCATGAACCTGACATTTTTATTCCACTGAATCCACCGTCTCAGCAGTGAGGATTTCTACTCATTTCGTGTTTTCTTTCCTGTCCTTTAATTAAGTTTTGTCACATTCTTCACACAGGTTTTATATCATTCTCCAGTTCCCAGGGCTTTTATTTTTAAATCTGCTCTGTTGTAAATACAGCTTGAAACACTCAAGGAATGGTTTCAAGGAGAAGAGGAAGAAGTCCTTTGAATACTTGCACTCCTACAAATACAACCAAAGACTGAAATACATGCACACAGCCCCTCAGAGCAGCAGGAGCTGCCAGCCCAGTGCAGGATAAAAGCAAGCTGTCTGAAGAGAGAATATCACTCAACCTACAGAAGTCAGGGATGCAAATGGGCTTTGAGTCAGTGGCATGTTAGAGGCAGCCGTGGTGGTGCACGTCTGAAATCCCAGCTCTCTGGGAGGCTGAGGCAGGAGGATTCAAAGTACAAGCCCAGCTCGAGCAGATGATGACTTAACAAGACCCTGCTTCAAAATAAAAAATAAAAAAGGGGCTAACTCAGTGCCAAGACCCTGGGTTCCACCCCCAGTACTGCCCTAACTAAATAAATAGTATCTTCCTAATTTAGGAAGAAAGCCAAGGTGGTATCTAAGACAATGAATGATAAAGCAAAGGAACAAAACTAGGTTTCAGCATTTCAAGAAGTTGCTGTTTCCAACAACGATGCACAAAATAACACCATGTCGGCAGGAAGTGACCCCTGACAAGTGGGAAGTGGGACGCTTGGGATGGACCCTAGGATGTGACAAAGCATGGGGTCCATGGAGCAGAGGAACATCCTCGGCACAATGCCACCCCGCCTCCCACGCCCTACCGCTGGGCCCAGATTCTGCAAGCACCCACTGTATCATGTGAGCAGGCGGCAGATGCTGCCTGGGTGCCTGGACCAGTGCCTGGCAGAGAGTAGACATGGCATACCTGGACCCGGGTGACATGCAGGTACAGCACACAGGCAACCAGGAAGCAGATGCAGAACACTAGCAGGAGCAGGACAGCCACGCTCCTGGGGACAGAGGATGCGGGGGTCACTGCTGGGCAAGGCCAGTGAAGGGGCCCGGCAGGTCCCTGAGAAGAGGCTCTTCCCCTGCCACGTCCCAGCATCCTGAGCCCTGGGTGCCTGCCCCAGGGTCCCTGGGAGCCAGGTCACATCCAGTTCTCTTCCAAGGAGGCATCTGACCTCAGAGAAGAGGTCAGAGAGTCCCACTGCTGCCTGGGGCTTTTTTCTCTGATGGAATCAGCTGACCCCACCAGGCTGCCTGGGAAAGATGTTTCCAGAACAAGTCTGCAACCCACACAGGGCCTGGGGCAGTGGCTGTGGTGACAGAGCCTTTCTGGAAACTCGAAGGAGACACTGCTCCCGCCATGGGTCTCATTAAGGGTGTCTGTGAGAAAATGAACCAGTAGGGACTTCCCAGAATCCTCCCCGCCCCATGACAAAACCTAAACTCACACTGGCCCGTGGGATGATTAAATATTATTAAAAACACTGTATCTGCCTGGCTTTTCAGGGGCCATTTTTTCTCATTTTTTTTAAGGGTTCTTTTCCTTTTTTCTTTTCTTTTTGATTTAATTTTTTACTTTTATTTTGTGGGTACCAGGAATTGAACTCAAGACCTTGCACTTGCCAGGCAGGCACTGTACCACTGAGCTATACACCTGGCCCCACTTTTTCTCATTTTAATGTTCCTGAAAATGATGTGAGCCCAGCAACCAATGAGGACATTCAGAGCACTGTCTGTGGCCCCCTCCAAGGTCTTCGTAAGTCAATAGCACAGGTCTCATGGATGCAGATCCCAAAATACAAGGAATTAAATTCACAGTGACAATGCCTTTCCCAAGCACCAGAAGCAATGGGAGGGTACTAGGAAGTGAATCCTGAACATGAAAAGGGCACTTAAACTGGGAGAGGCCGTACAAGCCTGTCGTCTTAGCACCTGGGAAGGCTGAGGCAGGAGGATCTCAAGCGCTGGGGCCATGTGGGGAGACCCTGTTCCAAACTAAAAAATTTTAGAAAGAGATGGGATGTAGGTCCTGGGTTCAATTCCCAACAGAAAAACAAGGCCCAGTCACCAACCCTGCAGACCCAGATGGCACTTACTGTGGGATTACCAGAAGGTAGATAAGGCCAAATAAGGCAGCCAGGATGAGGGCGAGGACTACGGCGCTGGTGAAGTATTCATCCTGCAGCTGGTGGTACTGCGGAGGGCAGGAGAGACCCATCAATCCCAGGCCGGCCCCGGGCACAAGCCCCACCTCGGCCCGGCCAGGCTCACCTTGCGCTCGCGCTCCGCCTGCTTGTACTTGAGCGTGAAGAAGTCCAGGTCCGCCATCTCCAGCTCAGGCTGCCGCGCCTCCAGCAGCCGGCTGATGTACCTGTTGACCCGCGTGCCCGGCGTGGTATAGACCACGTTGGCGCAGAAAGACGAGCGGTTCCGGAGCTTCTCCGAGGCTGTCCTCAGTGCCCGCCGCTGCGGCCGTCAGAGGGGAGAAAGCAATGCAGTCAAACCATCTGCTCCCTGAAGGCAGAGCCCCGCAGTGGCCCTGTGGCCAGGACCCTTGCTGCCCACCGGCCACTGCCATCCGGATCTGAAATGCAGTCTCCACAGCCCTGGCCTGAGACCACAAGGAAAGGGTCACAGGACATACGTGCGACTCCCTAGGATGGCACCATGCAAGAACTGGGGGGCCAACCATGTGAAGTGGGGGTGGAGCCTGGATCACAGCAGAACCCAAGCAACTCAGAAGATGGGGTCCACTACGGAACAGGGCAGGGAGGGTGGGACTGTAGCAACGGACTGAGCTGTCCATCTCCCCGTGGGTAAGGCCAGAGGGACAGAGTAGGAATCCTCCTCCGAGACCCCCATGGCGCTGGAGGGGCACAGAAGGCACTGGTACCCCGAAAGCTAAAGAAGTTTCAGGTGAGGCCATCGGCCATGACTTCAGGCCCCTGGAGCTCCTCAAAATTCCACATGGCCAGGAGATGGACAGATGCTGCCCTCGGAATTCCCCTCACGGGGAGATCTCAAGTCAACACAGGATGTTGGGAGAGGGGAGGAAGAGGGCCTCTAGGGACTTGGGGACCCAGTGAGAAACTGCAGCAGGACACCTGGGCTCCCCTTCAGTTCTATCACATACCCCAGGCCAGGACTCAGAGGAGCCCAAGCCTGGGAACACCACTGGGCACAGCGAGATTGGCAGAGCCCCAGGAGGGCCTGTTCACTCCGGCCAGAGGACCAAGCATGGGCAGCCTAGAAAAACAGAAAACTTCCAGAAAAATCTGCACCCAGCCCAAGCCACTGAACTAAGGCCACCTGGGAGCCTGGACTTCCACACCCCATCCCCTGCCCCAAGGCCCTGAAGAGGTGCAGCCAGGTCTCCACTGAGACAGTGCAGGGAAAGCCCGACAGTCTGGACCCATGTCACCAGTGGGTGGCTAGGGGGTCCTCACTGTGCGTCACTGGAGGCTTCTGTCGCACCATGACATCCGGAAAGATGAGTGTGCAATCTGGGCTTCTCTCCCCGCCTAGCAGGCACAAGACAGCACCCCCACTATAAGGCCTGAGGAACCCCTGGGGTCCAGGCCCATCACTTACAAATGAATCCTCAGAGGGCAAAACCACCAGGCGGATCACCCTAACCCACACCCACCAGCATTTCTGAAAACCCAGCCTTCATTTTTTATCATCAAAAAGAAAAAGGAAAAAGCAAACCCTCCAAAGAACTAGCTGGGTCTCACTTGCGGTCCAGAGTCACGGTCAGCGGGAGACCCTGTCCACTTCACCTGCTGGAGGCGGAATGAATGCAAATGCCCAGCTTGGTAGTCACTAAGTCCAGCACTGGATGGGAAAGAGAGTACGGGGGGCCCACTGCAGATCCACAAATCCAAGAGGCCTGCCTCGGACATCGTGGCGCTTGGTTTTTTGGTGTGCAAACGTTTTATCTTTGATGCATTCAGACAGCTAAGATGGAAATTATGCTTCCAAAAACAACCCGAGCCATATTTAAACAAAAAGCCCAGCGCTGGCGAGATGCGAGCATACCAGAAACAGGAGAAATGGGCCAGCGTGGGACACACAGGTGACGCGTGCAGGGCCCCACACACCAGGGACAGGGATGGGGGGCACAGCTTGGGGTGCTTGGCTTGGCAAGAGTTTTCGCCCCATCAACCCGCTGTTCATCACCAAGAAATGCTGGGCTGCGCCTGCCAAGAGGTTTGTAGGAACAAAGCTGAGGACATTGATATCACCACGTAGAAATGAAGTCACTGCCTAAGATAAGCTAGAGGCTCTGTTGGGTCTGGACCGCTCCTGGTGGCCGTCCAACCCCGGAGAAGGGATCAGGACTGGATCTGCATATGCATCCAGCAGGGTGAGGCCCAGCCTGAGTGGAATGATTGTGTCCACGAATTGCTCAGTGCCCAGCCCATACACCCCTCCTGGTGCACACACAGCCTGACTTCCAGAAGCCAAGTCACAACGGCAAGGGGTTGGAAAGACCTAAGTTTTACATCCTGGGTACACATTGCTTTTATTGATTGATTTCTAATCAATAAGGTCAGGTAGTGAAATAGGGTGAGAGGGACAGACACAACCCTCAGGATAGAGGGAGAGAGACCACCGAGGCCATGGAGCGGGCAGATGGAGGGAACAATGTATGGTCGCATGTTGGGAAGTCACAGCCTCAGCGATCCCACTCAGCTTACCGGGACTCAGCGTCACGGCCCAGACAGAAACCGTGTACATCTTGCTTCGTGGAAATGGCCCGAGCACCTATGGAGGCTGCTCCCACACACGCTTTTCTCTCAGGCCACAAATCTGCTTGGTGACTGAAGAATCACCTTCTCCAGGAATGCTTGGCCATACAGGGAAACCTTTATGGTACACTGGCCAGCAAAGGAGAAACCGCAACCGCACTGCTCGTCTGTTGGTCAGCGGAGTTGCTTTGTTAAAAACTTCAACTAGGCACGGTGATGATGCATGCCTGTGATCCCAGCATTCTAGGAGGCTGAGACAGGAATTGCCAAGTTTGAGCCTGGCACTGGGGTGCAGAGAAGGTGACAGACAACGACGCAATCTAGGGAGACCCTGTTTTAAATCTAAAATTTTGCAAAGGGCTGGGGAGGCAGCTTGGTGTGAAGGCCCCAAGTTTAAACCCCAGTACCACAAACACACACACACACACACCACACACACACGTACACACACACAGGCACATTTGCACAAATGTACAGTCACACAAACTTAGAGAACCAGGAGGAATTTAACAGCAGGTATTTTGCAGGGTGCGAGGGTTACAGACAAACATTCTTCATTTCCTTCTCTGTGTATGTTTGGGTGGCTCCATAATTCCCTGGGAGATACTTCTATCAAAGGAGGACAAAGGGCAGACAGGACAGCTGACCATGCATCAGGAGAGGCCAAACCCAGCACAGCCTGAATCCCTGGAGAGGAGGCCATCAGGACATGAGACTGGATAGCTAAGTTTTGGACGCACTGCAAAACTGTGCACCTGGGTTGCTTTACCCTCTTCGAATGTGGATGTGGGTGGCAGAGAAACAGATTCTACCTGGTAAAATGGCAAACAAAATAACCTCAAAATCCTGTGGTCACGAACCAAATGAAAAATTTAAATGTGCACACATGTACACATTCACACCTGGGTGTGCACATGCACAGACATTTAAAAATGCACAACTGAACTCACAAGAAGGTAACGAAATTATCAGAGGCCACTCAAGCAGGTGCGGGTCCAGACAGGGCAGCAAGGCTACAGCCACTGAAGGCCTGGGGACAGTAGCAGTCCTGGGAGACCCCAGCCTGCCCCAGGTCACCGGGGTCCCAGAGCACCAGAGCGTAGAGACACAGCAGGAATCCCAGGCCCAAGCGGCTCCACCTCAGCAGGCATGAACAGGAAGCACACAGGGCCCCATCTGAACACAGCAGGATGCCCCTGGGGTTCCTGACCTGATTAGGACCCAAGATATCTAACAAGCAGCATGCAGACATCTTGGTTAGCGCAGCCCCAGCTGTCTGGCGGGGATAAAAGCCACTCCTCCCTGATGGGACACACAGGGCCAGAGCTCTCCTGGAATCCTCAGGCGAGCTTCTAGCAAAGATGAGATCCACACACTCAAATCCAGTGGCAAGAAGCCACCACAAGCAGGGACAGCGGGATCATGCCACTTCCTGAACTGCAGCAAGTTTATTTAAAAGGCACATATCAGGCACATATCAGGCACACCTGTTACTCCAGCACCTGGTAGGGAGGCTGAGGCAGGAGAATTGCTGTGAGTGAGCTCAAAACCATCCTGAACTACATAGTGAGACCCTGTCTCAAAAACACAAAAGTAGAAAGGCATAAACCCCACCAAGGTGGGGAAAATGCAGGCGGACAAAGAAAAGCAGCAACCAACCTCAAAAAGTGGAACCTGGGCCGTAATTATGTGGCCCCGGGAGCCGGGTCAGGGCTGCGGATGAAGGGGCCGGGTGTGCTCAGTGCCAGGTGCTGGTGGCTGCAGCTGCTATGGTTCCCAGCCCCTCCATTACCCCCACCCCGAGCTGGTGACAGAGCCTGAGTTAACCCCCAGCTCCAGCACATGGTCCTGCTGCAGGGCAGGGGTGTCTCTAGCCCAGGGTCCCGGACATGAGGCCTGGTGCCGGAACTGAGGGGCCCCGGTGCCCTCCCAGTGAACTAGGATTGTAGGTGACAATGACCAACCTAAGAGAAAGGTAGAAAATCAGTGCCCATGATAAAGCCCAAAGAGGAGTGCTCTCTCCAGGCAGCTCTGTAATTCCCAGTTTCAATCAACAACCAATCAGGGAGGATGTGGGCCTCTGTGGAAGGTGGGAATGAAATCAAGGTGGACAAACTCGGGGGAGGTCCTCGGGGAAGCAGAGGCACTTCTGAGACAAGAAAATATTTTTTAAAAAAAAAAAAGTGAAACAAAAGAAAAATATATCTATCCCTACTGTGGAAGGGTTTCATAAAAAGAATATACAGAACACAAAAAAGAACTTATGAAAGTTTTTAAAAATCTGCTTAAAGAAATGAAAAGCTCAATGAAAAGTGCTGGAAGACAGAACTGAAGAAATTTCCCAGAAATGAAAGGCGTGGAGAGAAAGAGGAGGAGAATCAGACCAGCTCAGGAGGGCCAAGAACCAAATAGTAAGAGTTTCTGGGAAAGTGGAAGAAAAGAAATAATCAAAAAAGTCATCCTTGAACATTTCCAGAGGTGGATCCTCTAGGTCGCAGGAACCCTGTCCCTAAGCATTAAAAAAAAAGATCTAAATCAGAGCAAATCACCGTGCAGGTTCTGAACACAGGGCGCAGGGTTCCACCAGCTTCCAAGGGAAAGGACTCAGCATTGCAGTCAAGGGCTGGGAACTGACACAGCTCTGAGCATCTCGGCAGCCACCCTGGGAGCCACAGCACAGGACCACAATGCTCAGAAGAGAGATCATAGCCAATCCATGCTCCAAGTGCTTGCAACCCTCAAAATCCTCGTGTGGAAATTCCACCCTACCACGTGCAGCGAACAGGAGGGCAGGGCTTGGGGGGGCAACTGGGTTTAGATCAGCCAGGATGGGACTTGTGCCCCTGTGAGCAGAGGAAGAGACCCTGGAGCCTTTTACTGGTCGTGGGTAGACACAGCGAGAAGTCAGCAGCTGCCAGCCCAGGAAGGGCCCGCAAGGCCACCCCCACCTCACTGTGACCTCAAACCGCAGCCGCCAGCTCCATGTGGGATGCATGTCTGGGCTTAAGCCACCCCGAGACTGCAGCAGCGCTGCAGTGTGGCAGCCTCTACAGACCCTGCTCACTATGCCAACCCAGACATCAAAAGCCTGGCATGCTGGTGTGGTGGAAAGACTCCTCACACTGGGCGAGCACCCATATGCCAACTGTGTCCTTTCCATGGTCAGATACCGAAGCTCAGGATCCATCACGGGGGAGAGGACCCAGGAGAAGAGCCCATGTGACTCAAGAGACCAGAGGTCACGGATGGGACAGAGCAGCTGCCGCTAAGGGCAGGGAGGACCAGCCTCAGAGGTAACCAGCCTCAGGCCCAAACAGCGAGCCACCAGTCCTGAAGGACCAGGTGACGCAGCAAGCGTGTGAGGAATGCTGGCTTGAAACTGGATAAACTCAGATTACAGAGTAGAAAACTACAAAGGCACAGGAGGATCTGTGTGGGACGGTGGCAGCCAAATCAGGATGAGGGCTGATGGACTCAGCTGGGCGGGGCTGTCTTGGAAGGGAAGGGACGGCATCTGCTGCCCGTACCTTGTCATCGTCCTCACAAGTCATGACGTTGGAGAAGGGGATCTCAGCCTTGAACATCTTCCGGCAATGCATGAGCTGCACCAGCAGGTAGCACACGGTCTTGAATCGCATCCTCTTGGCTGGCTTGATGTCCGAGAGGATTAGGCCCGGGAAAATCTGTCCAAACACCGGGAGCAAAAGAAACGGCATCAGTGAGATGCCACTGGGGACCTAGGGTGACGCTGACAGTGCCTGGGGCCCTGGGACCTGCTTGGTCCAGGTCTGCTGTGTACCCTCTGGGCAGAGGACAAAACCATAGCCAAGTGCAGCACTGAGGTCAGTGTGGAGGGACAGTTTGGGACCCACAACAGTAGAACACTAGGAAAAAGGGTCACCTCACCACTTCTGTCACCCGTTAGGTCCCAGCATTTCCTATTCTACAGAAAAGGAGAGAGGCTCAGGAAAGATGGCTAACATGCCGGCGGCTCTGGGATTAGTGCTCCATTTCTGCTCCTGCTGGTTGCCCCTGGTTCTTCCATAAGCCCAAAGCTCTGTGTCCTGGCAGCTCTGACCCCCTCCTCTCCAGGAATGTTGTGTCCCCTGAACCGCTTGGCCCAACCCACATGACCACTCCCCACCTCCACCACCATGGCCCTCTAGAGAGGCGTGAAGACCCCAGCCTCAGAAGCAACAGAACACTTCCAGTTCCCCAGCGTTCTACTTGCTCCCTGGTCACCTGTGTGAGCTGCCCATGACTGACCTCACAGCCTGCCCTATTCTCCAACCACGGGACCCATGGTGGACATGGTCCAGGTGGCATTGAGGACCTCTGGGTCCTCTGCGTCCTAGATGCGTGAACCTCTGTAAACCTGTGACTGTCTTCACATTCTCTCTTCCTTGGCCAACCATTCCAAGTAGCCAGTCAAGGGCCCATCCCTGAGGACTCTGGCCAACGCTCCTCATGTTCCTCAGGTGACCCCAGCTACAGAAAGGGAGTAGTCCCACCTCCACCTGGTCCCTCCCATCAACTCTTCCCACACTCCCCCTTCAGAAAGCAGTGGCCTACCTTGCCCTGACCTGCCCTGTGACCTTGCATCTGCTTCAGGGCAGTCCCAACCACCAGTCATCCAAGCCAGACAGAGATGACTTTCCCAACCTCAACCCACTGGTCAGGCCCCCTCAGGCTGACTGCTGTGTCTTAGAAGCTGAGGAGAGTCCAGCCCAGGCAGGAGGTCACTGCTGCTGTACATACAGCACAGGGAGTCTACAGTCTCCCTCAGGCCCACCCACCACATCCTGACTGGGTACTGGTTCCCAAGAACTGGACATCGTACATCAACCCAAGGCAAACCGGGTACCCCAGAAGAACAGACATTGAAAAGGTGAAGTGGAGGCACCATCTTTAACAGGTAACTTCTAAAGACATTCTCACTGTTAAAAGCAGCTGCCTTCAGGTGGCATAAACCAGGGAAGAGTTCAGAGAGCCAGGCATGCCCTGGACCTTTAATCTCAGATCTCAATCTTGGATGAAAAGGTTTCTCCAGTCACCAGTGGCTGTTTTCTGGGCTGAGGTTCAGCCTCAGAAGCAGAGATGGGAGCTGTTCCTCAGAGAAGGTGGCTCTCTGCCTCCTCCAGCACCCCCTCCTCTCTCTGCTCTGGGGTTCCACAGAGGTCTCCCCCACCCCATTCATAACTCCATAGCACAGCTTTCCCCGAAGGTCTGTGTTGTAGTTCCATCAGGCACTAACTACTGCTAGTCTAGCTCCTCTTCAGCAGGTGCAGTGGCATCATTTCACAGCGGGAATTTTGGAAGACCTGGGGTGGAGCTACACAGAATTGGGAACAGTGTGTGGGGTGTGAGTACAGGGCTCAGCCAGGAGTCTCTGGGATTTGGCTGTGTAACTGGAACATGGGACTCCAGGATTTCACCAGCCTTCGGGCACCTCAGGATTCTGAGTCACTGTTATGCTTTAGATATAAAACACTCCCCAAAAGCCTCATGGGTGGAAAGTGGGGTGCTATACTCACCCGTGGATTCATTCATAGATAAGTGCAGTAACTGAATATGTTACTAGGAGTCAGCCCTGCTTGGAGGAGGTGGGTCACCGGGGCATGGCCTGGAAGGATATATCCTTTGCATTCTTGTCCTGAGGTCCTCCCTTCACTCTCTGCTACCTGAATGCCATGGGTTAAACATCTTTCTTTTGCCTGGTCCTTCCACTTTACCTCTTCTACCTTGGAGCCGAAATAAACCTCTCCTCTTTTAAACTGCAGGTGTCAGGTATTTTTGTATCAGTCATGGGAAAATGATTAATATGCAAAAACCAGGACCAGTGAAGTGGGGTCATTGCTGCATCTGTGCCTAGCCATGTGGTTTAGAAACCTCTGGAACTTATGTGTGGGAGGAGTTTGGTAAGGTCTGAAGAAGCCCTAGCTAGAGAAGTCCTAGAATGTTGTAAACAGAGGTTGGCAGGTGATTTTGGCTGCACCTTAGAAGATCAAAATGCTGATAATAACATAGACAGTAAAACCCAGGTTCAGGAGGACTCCATGGGGAACAAGGACTTCACTCACAATTGAACCAGAGGCCATGTATGTAACACATTGGCAAAAAGAAACTGTATTTTTTTCATATCCTCAGACTTTACAAGAAACTGAGATTAAGGAACTAATTTGTCTGGTAGAAGAAATTTCAAGCAGGTCTAACATTCAGGTGGGTGGCTGCTTTTAGCCAAATATACAATGAAAATCAGGAGCAAAAGGCAAAGCCAAAAGAATATTAAACATTTCAGGTTTCCCAGAAATGAAATAACTGCAAAGTTGGAGCCCAGAGCCAAGCACTTTGCATCAGGACAACAAAGAGGTATCTTGCCTTGAAGGTATCTCAAGAGTTCGGCAAGACCCTACCATTTGCAGATTCAAAGATGCAAAAGTATAAAGATTTCATTTGAGAAGAGAGGCTCTGGACTCCTGCTGGAGAAGGGCTGCCTAGGGAATTAGTTTCTTTAGATTAGAATTTCACTCAGAGACCACTGCAGTCAAGATCAAAGAGGCCCAGCTACTGCTCCCACTGGTGGAAATTTCATGTCATCCACATGGTGCTAATTTTCAGGCATGCAGAATGCAAGAGTTGTGGGGTCACAGAGGCTTCCACCCAGATTTCAGAAGGGATCCTGGAAGCCCAGGCTGCACGCCTTTGACAAAGTAGAGTGAAAGTGTTAAGAGTGAAGCTGAAGGAACAGTGGAGTTCCCAGTACATTGGAAAAGCCAGTAAGGTGGACTGGGTGCTGAGGAAAGCCACAGGTAGTGAGCAAAGCAAAAGAGACGCCATGTGGGCTATGCCAGCAATGCCATAGGGACAGAGCTGCCCAAGCACTTTGGAGCTTGTAACTCATCAAAACAGTCCCAGCTGCTGGATATAGAACTACAGAATTTAATGTTTTCCCTGCTGGGTTTTGGTCTTTGGTTCCTTTCCTTTCTATCCCTCTACCCTCATTTTTCACTTTCAGAATGGAAAAGTTTACCTTGTTATGCCTTTTATGTTGCAAGTATTTAACTTTCTTTTTCATTTTTACAGGTGCTCATAACTAAGAATTTACCCTGGATTTGGAATTTTCAACAATGCTGGAACTGCCAAGACTTATGCGACACTCAGTGGACTAAAAACATTTTGCATAATGAGATGGACACGAGTCTTTTCAATGAGTTGTGGACAGAATGCTATAGTTTCAATCAAAAATAGTTTAAAGCAAAGCCTTGTGTGTCTATAAGGTGACACAATCACAAGGTTCTACATTCATTACTGGATTCACCCACAGATGAGTTCAGTAGCTATTAGGAGGTGAGGTCTAGCTAGAAGTGGGTCACAGGGGTCATGATCTGGAAGAAGGTATTCTTGTCCCTGGTCCTCCTTCTGCTCTGCTTTCTGGTCACTTTATAACATGAGCAGCTTTCCTCCAATAGGCCCTTGACATTCCTGGCCTGAAGTTGGAGGCCAGGGACCACAAGCCAAAATAAACTTCTCCTCAAGTTACTGAGCTCAGGTATTTTGTTCCAGGGACAGAAAAGCTAATACAGTCATCAAGTGGGGCTGTGGTAACACGCTTGTGGAAGCAGGAAGGAACAACAAGGAACCCAGTTGGGGGGCAATGGGCAACAGTGAGGATACTATCTGCCATCTACTCACAGGGCTGGCTTGTCTACTCATGCCAAGCAGTCAATGGGCAACCATAGGCCCTTGAGGGTATGGGTTCCTGACCTGGAGATCTGGCCAATGGTACCTGCCTGGAGCAGCCAGGATGTCCAACCCTGCCCAACTCTGCCTCTCCCGGAACCTCAGTGGGAGATGGCAGAGATCAAAGGCATTTGCTTAGGACCTCAGGCCCAGGAAAGCTTCGCTTCTAAAGAGCCTTTGACATAGCTGCTCAATGGGGAGGGGCCTTGGGGAGAACCAGCCATGTAGCTATGTACAGAGAGAGTCCCTCCAGTGGTATAGGACAGGGGCTCCTTCACCACAGCCCCACCCCCTCACCAAGACCTGCACCCTCATGTGAGCCCTGGGAGCACCTCTCTCACCCTCTTATCCTGACCAGATCATAGTTTCTGGGCCTAGTGATATCAAGTACCCACACAGGATGGCCACAGCCCCTGCGCATAGCACCCTGCAGTTCTTAGAGCCACCCCAGCCCTAGCTCTTGCTCTGGGAGGCAGTGAAGGCCCAGAGAGGGGAGGGAGGACCAAGGGGGTCCAGGCTGAGATTACCTCAGATCTCTAATGGGTTTTCACCCCCTCCTGGCTCTGCCTGGCTCCACCTCCCGCCTACAAGCCGCAGACAGAGCCCAGTCCCAGAGTTAGCAGACCCTGCCCCACCCACCCCCAGCAAGTCCACAGCTGGAAAACAGAGCTGGGAGGAGGAGAGACAGCAATGTGTCTTTGAAGGTCCACCCAGGCCAGGCCACCTTGGGAGCAATCAAATGGCAGGGGCCACCCAGGAACTCACCTTTCTCCGATGGGACGGCACAATAAAGAAGGTCTCGATGTTGTGTGCCTTCAGGAAGCTGTTCCTCTCATGGCCATGGCCCGGCTCCACCTCGTAGTCTCCGTTCAAGCAGGCGAGGGTGGTCTTTGTGATGTGAACCTTCCTATGGGAAAAGCATGCAAACATGTGCGGGTGTCGGGCCCTGCCACTCAGGGACCATGGGTTCAGGGTCCCCGCACATCTGCACATCTGCACATCTGGGAAAGGAGAGGAAGGCCTGCAGGCAAGTGAGAGAGGACAGGACAGGAAGACAGAGAAGGGGCATCTGAGGCCAAGGAGGAAAAAGGGCAGAGAGGGGAGAGAAAAGGAAAGCACCAGAGGATGCAAGAGAAGACGAGAAAAGGAAAAGAGGGGTTCAGAGAAGGAGAGGCCCCAGCCAGCAACACAGGTCAGGGCTGGTGGCAACCATAGCCCCACCTGAGGTGACAGCTGGACCCTGCAAAACAGATGAAACCCCACAGCCTCTGCTTCTTGGCCAGCCTGCCACTCCTGTGACCTTAGGGACAAAACACAAACTCCTCGCCTGCTCTTCGGCCTTCTGACTTCCACGCAGGGGAAGCCTTGCATTCAAGGCTGATTCCCTGCTCCCACTGAGAGGTGACCGACCTTGGGACATTCGGATGGATCTACAAATATTCAGGGATCCAGCAAGGGGAGCAGGGTCTGGGTGGCCAGCAGTGGCCTTTGCTGATGGTGGGTGCTTTCTGATCCTTGAGGGCTAACAGGAGGGAGAGGGGCAGGAGAGAACAGCCAGTGCCCTGGGGCTGTGTGGCCCAGCACTTTCAACATGAGGAAAGGGATGAAGCACCGAGAAGCAATGAGATGCCATCCTGTACCCTAGACATGCCCCCAAGTGCACTGGGACTTCTCGGCCCATGCCAGCTCTCTGCAGGATCCCAGGAGAGTGTCAGTGGGCTGGGCAGGACCCCCTTCCCCCACCATGGGACTGCACAGCAGGTGACAGGCATGGCAGAGACAAAACAGGTGCCCCTGAGGCCCCGATGCCAAGGGTCAGAATAGCACCCACACAGGTGCCCTCGAGGTGAGAGCACTCAGCCACACCCCACCCAGTCCCCAACTTACCCCGGCAGGCCAGCGGCCTCCATGACATTGGCCAGGGTCACATCATTGGACCACACGTCATACTGCCACTTGCGCAGGCCAAGTACGCCACAGAGGACCCTGCCGGTGTGCAGCCCCACACGCATGTTCAGGTCCACCTCGGTGGCCTCAGCCACAGACCTGCAAGACACGTGGGGGGACTGTGGAGCTGAGGCTGCCTTGATGGCCCCGGGGAGCAGTGTGGGCCTTGGGTTTGGTTCTGGCTGCACGTGGTCTGAGTAGTGTTGGGTGGCACAGGCACCCGGGAGCCTCCTGGCCTGGCCAGTGGACAGCAGCCTCTCCAATGACCCAGGTATCTCCCTGTGTCCACACCATCTCTGGTGGGCTCTTCCATGCCTCCTCCTGAGCCTCAACCCATGGAAGACCTTAAAGGGACCCACACCCCACCCAAGCCTTGTTCCCAAGGGAAGAGGTGCTGGGGAGGTGAACACAGACAAAGCAGAAGCTGAGGACTGGGAAACCCACTTTAGCCTGGTCATTGCAGCTTCTGGAGCCTCACTTTCCATGGATATGAACCAGGCTCTGGCTACACTGGCCCTGAAAATCCCTGAAACTATTTAAATTCTACTCCAGTGCATAAGGGACTCACCAGCCTCCTGCTGGCTCTCTCCAGGCTGGCACCAAGAAGGACAGCACACTTTCTACCTCTGTCACTGCCAGGCAGGTGACAGTGACAGCAAAACACCTCAGCCCTCACTGTGTCCTCCACCAGCTCCAACTGTGCCCTGCTGCCCGCACCAGAGGCCTCTCTCTTTGGGTCACACTATGCATCCTGGTTAACACTCTGGGTGCCAGGCTGGCTGACCCTCTCTGAGAAGCCTGGCCTGGCTTATCACCATCTCAACTTCCCCATTCTCCTCCCAGGCCTGCAGACCCAGCCTGCAGAGGACACAGCAGCCACATAGGACAGCTGCCTACTGGATGCTACTGGAGGGCAGTGCAAGAGGGTGGCTTCAGCTCTAAGTCGGTCCCGGAAGTCCTGCAGCAAGCTCACCCTCAGGACCCTCAGCAGGATGTGCTCCACAGGTTTGCAAAAGAAGTCTCTTGGAAGTTATGACACCGGCATCTTCAGTATCCATTTATTTCAATACACTTTTAGGCATCATATTTTTAAATTCTAAGCCCCTGTTGTCAGTGTCCAATAAGAGACACTGAAATATAATTCCAAAGTTAAAATATATTTTGAAGCAGGACATGGCACAGGTCTATAATCCCAGCACTGGGAGACTGAGGCAGGAGCACTGAGAGCTCAACCACAGCCTGGGAAACTTAGGGATTTAGCAAGACCCTGTCTCAAAATAAAAAAAAAAAATAAAAGCCAGGGGGATGGAGCTCAGTGTGAAGACCCTGAGTTCCATTCCCAGTGCCACACACAAAAAATTTATTTTAATGCACAGGGAAAATGTGGACTAGAAACCTGCCAATGGTATTTTGGGACATTTCGAGAATTCACACTTCTGCGGTCCCAAATGGGTGACAACAGCCTGAGAACCATGGGAACTCATGCCCACCCCTGTCCCTAGGCCCCTTTGTACCGTCTAAATCAGCTCTTCACAGTCTCAGAGTCCCTGCTGGCCTCCACCAGGTCCTCTGTGCACTACTACACCCTCTTCTTCAGTCCCTCCAGTAGGTTCTGTCACCCAGGTGATGGAGCTGGTACCACCCAGCCTGCAGCATGCTGGATGGTCACTTTGCAAGCATCCAGTGTCCAGAGCTGTCACTGTGCTGGCTCCTCCCAGCACCACTGCTACTGGAGCATCCAGGTGACTTTGCCTAATTCTAGTGGACCCTCCAACTTCACCTCCAACGAACCAGAATCTCCACAGCCCTTTCAACTTCATTTGTCCTACTTTTCTTTCTTATTTGTGCTCTCAGGCTGTTATGGTTTCCATCCAGAACATCCCCCTAAAGGCTCAGGCTTTGGAGGTAAGGTTTTTGGAAGGTAGTTGAATATGGGAGTCCACACTCATCAGCAGATTCAGCCAGGGATGTTCTGTTAGGAGGTGAGGACTGGTTGGAAGATGTGGGTCACTGGGGACATGATTTAGAAGGTGCATTTTTGCACTGGGCTCTCCTACCACCACCACCCCCCCGCCATCTCTCTGCTTCTGGCTGCCATGGCAACTGAGAGTAGCTTTTCTCCATTGAGTCCATCCACCATGATGTTTGTACCTTTTACCCACCTTCCATGCACAGACTGAGCTCTCTGAAACCATGAGTTAAAATAAGCCTTTTCTCCTTGAAGTTGCAGATCTCAGGTATTTCGTGCCAGTGACAAGGAAACAAGGACACAGGCTCAAGCATATTCCTTCCAGACTTGGGCTCACTGTCCATAGACCTGACTTCTGTCTGGCTCTAGACACCAACACGGAAGTTATTAGGAAGTAGCTCACCTCTAGGACCAGGGCCTCATCAATCCTGGATGCAATGAAATCCTGGCAGAACCAAAGCCTAGTCATGACTACACTAGAACTCGAAAATGAAAGGGCAGACAAGTGTAGTTTGTTCAACAAACATCTACCAGGCTTCCTTGCTAATCCATCACTCAAGGCATTGTGGCAACAGCTGTGACAATGGAACAGTGGTTCCTCTAGAGGATGATTTGCTATCCTCTAGGCGGGATTGACCACAGCTGTGCCCCACAGTGGTAGAAAAATGGAGCACACGGTTTCACACTCATGAGTTCAAACCCATGCCGCCAGAGCTTATCCATCTATAAAAATGCAAGTACTCAACTTAAAATATACAACTTCACAGTCTCCAGATTCCCTAAAATATTAAGGAAAACCATATGCAGTGGACACAGGTGCAAGTATGCACCAGCACCCTCTACCCTTCAAGAAGTTGATCCCTGAGCTTATCCATAGGTCTGGCTCTGAAAATTAGAATCCAACAACAAGATGAAATAATACCCAAAGGTACTTACTGTTGTGGATCTGAATTAACCCCCGAAAGGCTTATGGGTTCAGAGGTAGAGCTTTAGAAGGTTTCAGATCATGAAGGCACTAACTTCATCAAGTGGACTAAACTCTCACTAAGTAGATTGTAATCTAGGGTATTATGGGAAGATAACAGCCCACCTAGGAGATGGGGCCTAGAGGGAGGGAGTGGGCCATGGGAAATGGCATTGGGAACCACATCTCACCCCCAGTCCCTTCCTCTCTGGCTCTCTCTCTGGCTCTCTGCTTCCTGGCTACCATGAGATGAGCAGCTTCCTCCCACTGTGACGTTTCTGCCTTGTCACACACCTACATGCATGGAGCCAGCAGGCCACGGACTGAAACCATACGCAAAATCCAAGCTCTCCTTCTTTAAGTTGCTTTTTTCAGGTATGTTGCTACAGCAACGCAAAGCTAACCTACACTCCCTGCTGAGGAAGTGAGGTATTCTCCACGGCTCACACCTACGAGCCAGTTTGTGGAAAAGAAAGGAGTTGTTGACAGCCAGGGGCTGGGGAACACTGCCCATGGGTGTCCCTTCTTACAGGGCTCCATACAACACTCCAGCCTAAGGGGCCACCGAGATCCACTGACCACCATGATGCCTGCATGGTGTTCTCCTGGCTCAGAGGGATCAGGAGGAAAAGCACAGGCTATTTCCTGCTAGTGGGAGAACAAACGAAAAATACAGAGACCAAGGCCACACTTAGTTAAAATCCATTTAGCAAGATGGTGCCCCGCTTGTCTGGGAGTCATGCAAACAACAGTGAGATTCCAGCATCCCTACCACCCACGCCAGCAGAGGTTCCCCCAGGCAGACAAACGTGGCCCCGCCCCAACAGCTGTGCAGGACTACAGCTCTGCAGGGATTCCACAGGAGAGGGGCCCTTTCTCCTCCAGGCTGGCTCCTCCTGGCTGGGAGCTGATTTGTGCCTCCCACGCGCACCCACTTCATCCAAGAACCCACTTAAGCCTCACAACCACTCAGAGATGCAAACATCAATTCCTTTTATAGCGACAAAAATGAAGGATTCAGGGAAAATGGGAGCCGGGAACCTGCAAGCTCATCTACTTACTGGGGATCAGAAATTTGTAGCCCACTCAGGAAAAGAGGAGCCCTGAGCCTGAAGGAGACTCAGCAGAAAAGGGTGGGCAGAGATGTCACAGGGGACAAGGCACAGGGTGAGGGTGACTCAGGCTTCAACTGGCCACCACCCCTGCACCCTCCACCCTAGAGTCCCCCATGCATACAGTCTGCAGAAAAGAAGCCAGCACCCAGGGACAGACAGAGCTCTGGATGCCTGAGACGGGGCCTCCTGTCACCCATGGGGTCAGAGGCTGAACTCTGTCCCTGGGACTTGAGACCCCACCCCACCAGCCCAGGCAGGTGGCTTCTGTCCACAGCAGAAGGAAGATGGGCTGAAAAGCTTCCCCCACTGACGCACAAGTTTACTCCCTGGGCTGGTCTTGCCTCTAAAAAGCTGTGTAACCCCAGCAAGTCCCTTCTGTCTAGAGGGCTCAATTGCTCCATCTATCAAGTAGGAGAGTCAGCTTCCTGACAGCTTTGAGCTAAAGGCACTCTGACAGGGACAGAGACCTGGGTGTCAGGTCCATCGCCCAGTTGTATGCCCAGGGCAGTGGTGTGGAGCCCTGAGTTCTGCTCTTTCCTTTCAAATGCCTAAGTGAAATGCACTGCTGTGGGTAGGTGACTGTGGGGCATAGAATGGCCACCTCTGTGCAGCAAGCAGTACTGGTGTGAGCACTGCTGGCAGAGCCAGAGTCAGAACATAGAGCTAACAGTGGACACCAAAGTCCCAGGGAAGTGACAGGCAGCTGGGCAATAAAGGCTCACCCTACCAGACTCTATGCCAAGAGGGCTCAGCACTCAGATCCCAGCCTTTGCTCCCAGAGAACAGCAGAGGCAGTCACCTGCCAAGCAGAAGACAAGCCCACGCCACAATCTTCTGAAAAGGAGCCAGCCGGACTGGGCCAACTCCAAATGGCTCATCCAGCTCACTTCTTTTCCCACATCTCAGGCACATGTGACAATACCCAGGCTTCCCGAGGACACAGAAACATCCCATACAAAACCCAAGGCGAGGTTGCCAAAGCATCACATCGCAGAGCAGCTGCCCCAGCCCCGGACACGTCCCCGGAGAGCATGCCACTTACGTGATGGTGTCAATCATGTCGAGCCCCATCTCTACGCAGCAGTGGGCGTGGTCAGTCTTGGGCTGGGTGAGGCCAGACACGCAGTAGTAGCAGTCACCAAGGATCTTGATGCGGCGACAGTGGTTCTCCTTCGGGGACAAAGTACACAGTCAGCTTTGCCTGCTCAGCAAGTAGACCTAGTGACCACAGAGTACTAGGACATGTTATCATGGTCCTGGGCAGTCCTGGGAGACACACAGTCACCTCCAGCAGCTGGGATCAGGGTCGTGTTGGTGGTTCCCTCACTTCCTTTCCTCTTGAGGTGTCCACCCCTCCCACTTTCTCCAACCCTACAAACCTCTAAGGTCCAGGTGTAAGGTCACTCGGGTAGAAGGTGGCACAGTACACAGCCACCTCTGTGAGGAATCTTCTCTGACCCAACACAGAGGGCCATGGGCAGCACAAGGCCCTCCAGAAAGGCCAGGCCAGGCCCACCCAGCTCTTCAGCTCTTTGCGTCCCTACCCCGGGACACACTTCTAGAAGGCACTTCCTGCCACTAAATGCCCTTGCCCTGTTGGATACCAAGATATGAGGAATACCGGTAGAAACACATAGGGCTACATGTATGTCAGAGTTTGGATTTTTTCCAGATTTAGAACACTGACATAGACTTCAGTGGTGAAACACCCTTCATCTGAAACCTAAAATTAGCTTCAAAACTCAAACAGACTTTGAGTTTCGACATGGTCCTCAAAGTTGCAGAATTTGGAGCATTTTGCATTCTGAATTTTAGATTAGGGAAGCTTACACTGTAATGGCACTTCCGGGGGCATCTGCTCCCGCAAACTGAATTGTCACAGTGCCCCCCCCCCCGACCACCAGCACAGAGGGTCATGGACTCCCCCAGGGAAACCAGGTGGGGATCAAAGAAGATCAAAACAGAGGCCAAGCACTATTCTACCCAACATAGGACTTGTTTTTATTTCAAGGAGAAAATTAGAACAGGAGTTTGAAAGCATGTTCTCTTCAAGACCCCTGTATGCCTTACAGCTGTTGACATTTACCAGTTAGAAGCCATGCGTGTTTTAAACACACACGAATGTATTTAAAGACAGCAGGAAATCTATTTGCATGACAGTTTAAACTCTGACAGTTCTCCCACGTAGAATGCTGTCCACTACCATGCATCTCTGACCAATTTTGGGAGCAGACAGCTGGATGCCTGGATCCACAGTAGCATCTGACCACTCAGGCTGGACTGTGGTCACAGAGTCCACAAAGGACAGGCTTCAGAACTTTGAAGACCTCACAGAGCCACAAACCCCTCTGAACTCCGCTTTGGGAATACATCTGTGGCTCTCATTTCTAAGTCTGTCCTTCCGTTCCCTACTCCATGCAGCTAGTTAGCAAGTGCCAAAGTGAGCTGGGGGCCAACAAGCCCTACCCCAGGACTATGCATGACAGATCTCCCCAGTCCTGGGCCCGTGCTATCCCCAGCTACTGTCCTGAGCTGTCTCAGCTGCAGTGCCACAGGGACCTTGAACAACAGCTCCAGCCACTGCTGAGTGTCTGAGAGAAACTGAGCTGTATAGATGGCCCCAAACTTGCTCCTTCCACCCCACCTGCCACCATAGAAAAGGAATGTCCCTGTGGGCTAGCACGGGTGTTGCCTCTGATTACAAGCCCCACAGAGCTTTCCAAAGAAGGAGGCATCTATCTACACAGGCTGTGACCAAAGACAGAGATGCCCTCAAGACGATCCCTGCTACTCAGGGATTGAGGTGTACAAAGAGTCCACCAGGATCGCCTTCACCAGTCCACCTGCAAGACCTCCATGGCAGATGGGGGTTATATGCTTTCTGAAGGAAGTATCTCAATCAACTATCACCAACAGTAGTCCTCGCCTGGAACCCGGTCAGCACAATGTCTGGAAACTGCCTGGGATACAAAGCCCAGACACCTCCAGGCCTTCCTGGGCCCTCCTAGCTTCTGCTTCCTGCCTGGCCTCCACCACACTGACCCTGGGGTCACAATCCAAAACACATAAGGGGACAGTGCTTGGTTTCATTTTTCATTTCAAAGGTTCTGTGAATTTTGTCAGCAAGGCTAAGAGATCAAAAAAGAAAGTTTGTTTGCTTCTGATGATTCTGAGTTGTAGATTCATAAAGTTCCTTCATAAAGGAAGAAAGCTGGTGCCTGAGTCACTGTGGGAAGCACGGTTGGGAGTGGCGACAGGGGCCTTGTGGCTCTGAGTTTCACTGGGAAGAACACAGAAGAGGAGGAGGACGAGAGTGGGCTCCAAGGGGTACAGCCCTCGGGGACTCAGCTGTCCCCTCTTTCCCAGCCATGGAAGAATCAGGACTGCCAGGGGAACACCAGCAGGGAAGTCTCATGCTTAGCTTCCCAGGTACAGCCTGAAGGGTGGCAGTGGGCTCTCACCAACTTGCCTGAGTGGGCAGACGTGGGCAAGGGACCTAGGATAACACAGACACACATACCCCAACACAGTCCAACACTGTCAAGAACCAGCAGATCGTGGGGTGCTGAGAAGTGGGGTGCTTGATTCCATGCAGAAATGATGAAATTAAAAACCACCACCCGGAGGTTGCTGAGAAGATGGCAGATTGATAAGTAGCAAAGTAAAGAGCCTCTCCGAGAGAAACAGCTGAGATGCTAGAACTTACCACCATGGAGAAGACCAGACAAACGCAGAGGGATTCTCATGACCCAGGAAGAAATAAGGAAAAAGGAGAAAAGAAAAGAAAAACATGGACAGAAGCCTGGAGCCAGACGTGCTCTCACTGGAGCCAGTCCCATGCTGTGCTGGGCACCTTGGAGTCAGACAACTCACAGTCACACCGAAGACACGGTTGCGCTGAAGTCAGGGGTTGGCGAGCCCAAGGCCCTGGGCGGGAGGATGCGTCACAACAAAGAACAGAAATGTCATGGAGACCTGCACCAACCCTCAGTGAGTGCTCAGAATTTGGTCCTCCCACGAAATGGGGAGGGGGACCAGCTGGACAACATATTGGAATTGGGCAGGACAGGCCTGAACCAGGAACCACAGTGGCTTCAGTTAGCCACTTCTCACCCAGAGCAGATTGGTGGGATCTGCTTGGGCTGGGTCATGCCCCTGGTCGAGACCAAATAGCCAGGGATGAAATTGCCCTCCAAATTGTCCTGAATGGGTTCTGTCCTCGAAGCACACACTAACGTGGCGAAGGCCCCTGATAGTTGACTGGCTCGGAGGGGAGGGGCCAGCCTACATTACCCCTGCTTGCACCTCCATGATCAACAGCAAGCTGGAGAAGGCAGCACACTTCAGAAGAACCATAACCAATATGGAAAGGGGCTGGGACCTCCACCATACACTTTAAGGAAGAAACCAGAAACATGACAAGAGAAAGAAATAAGAAAAAGTCTCCAGCCACCAACCAAGGGAATATGGGTCCAGGAGAGGTAAATACAGAAGAGATCAAGGGCAGCAAATATGCGACATTGGACATGGCATCAGCTGACATAAAGAAATATCTTCATAACATTATAGAAGAACTCAAAACTGAAATACTAATACAAGTAAAGCAAGATATAAGAAGATTAATAAAAGAAATGCTAAGTACCTCTCAAGAAGACACAGACAGAAGAATGGAGGAACACAGAAAAAGGAGAGAAACCTAGAATACATGAAACAGATTCAAAGAGATTACCGGGAAATTAAAAACTCCATTAAAGCTGGCAAAATTACCTGAAAGAAACTAAAGATAGATTATTAAAACTTGAAGATAGGTTTGCAGTGTGTGATCGCAAAAGGAGAGATCTCTTAAAAATAATAAGGAAACAGGCAGTAATAATACACAGGCTAGAAGATGACAAGAGGATCTATAATTAAGAATAAAAACTGTCAGTGAAGAAGCAGGGTAAACATAAAGGAAATACAAAGGCTATTCACAGAAACAAGTAAGGAAAACTTCCCAAGCATAGGAAACGGAAATGATATTCAGATGTATGAAGCATACAGAATGCCAGCCACCTACAACCAAAAAAGCTACACTCAGACATATAATAATCAGGATCCCAGAAATTCATCACAAGAACAGAATATTAAAAGCTGTCAGAGAAAACAAACAGATCACCTGTAAAGGAAAACCCATCAAAATCATGGCAGACTTCTCGACACAAACTATCAAACAAAGAAGAGCTTGGAGCAAAGTATTCCAAGCCCTGAAAGAAAATAACTTCCAACCCATATTGATGTACCCTACAAAACTGTCTCTAGAAATTAATGGAGAAACAAGATGCTTCCATGACAAAGAGGAACTAGGGTAGTTTGTGACCACAATCCAACCCTACAAAAAGTACTGAAGGACATTCTAGAGACAGGGAGAATAAACACCAGGATTTCAGGAACAGTGGCAGAGAGCTCTCAAAAAACAGAGCAGACAGTGGAATAAAGGAGAAAAGTTAACAACCAATGGCAGAAAAATAACATAGCAGAAATGGGGCAGAGAAAATTGGCTGTAATCTCTAACAAAGATAGCCTTGATACACTAACAAAAATAAACACAGGCAGAGTATATCAGGAGATAGGATCCACCGAGATGCTCTATATAGGAAACATAATTAACTTGAAAGAGGGCTTATGGACTGAAAGTCAAATATGAGAAAAACAATGCTCTATGTGACAGGGAACCAGAGAGAAATAGGGGCAGCTTATCCAGCAGCTGCAGATAGGTTAGAAAGTCATGACACTTCTGTACAGTGGAGAACTACTTAGCTATAACAAAGGAAAACCTTGAGGGTTTTGTAGGTAAAGGAATACAACTTAAGATCAAGCTCAGGGGTTAAAAAAAAGTTCAGAATCACTTAGGTAAATAACAGGTTGCCCCCCTAATCTAAAAACTAAAGGAGTTAGTTGGACCCAAAATGTACAGTGTACCCTGTGAAAGTGAAAGGGGAGAAATTGTCTAAAAAAGGAAGACAGAGGACATTGTTAATAGTGTATCAGGATTTAAAATCCACACTGTTCTCATCACTGTTTAGTTTGATTATATTGTATTACAGTCTGTCTACTTGTACTAGATTTGAGGGCACAGACAGCTATTCCAAAAATAGCAGGATATACTACAGTAACCATCCTTAATTTCCTAT